TTCTTTAAAAAAAAAAAAAAAAAGGATTAAAGTAAAATCAGTAGCGTTGGACATATGGTGACCTGTTTATAAACGTCAACGGTCTGTGAGTCTGCGTGCTTTCCAGCAGGACACGTCCAAACTGCCTGTTCTACGCTCCCCCTGCAAGAACCACACTTAGAAATGGGGCTCCTGAATCAGGCCTGAGGAGTCGAGGTTGCTGGCCCTTCAGGACCGAGGCCCCCTCCAGCTCCTGCCCGTGGGAGGGGCACTTACCTCAGTAAGGCCTTTGATCTTCAGATACCCACAGAGGTACGAGTTCCCCGTGTCCACGTGCTGAAAAGACACACACAGCCTCGTTACCAATGGAGGGTCCAGCAGGAGACAGCAGGATCACGTCCGGCAGGCAGAGGCCCCTTCGAGGCCAGGGCGGCAGGCGGGTGGGGGGCGAGGGAGCCTGGAGGCTGGCTCGCCCAGTGCAGCCCGGGGCTCACAGGTCCTGTGGCACGCTGAGTGTTCAACATTGAGGCCTCATTTAAGAAACTAGGAACATTTTGCGGCATTTACCAGATCTGGGGACCCAACTACTTCCAATACACCATGAGTCAAACACCAAGGCAGTGCTTAAAAGCTGCAGTGAACTCAGCCAGCCAGACGAGGTCAGCACCAAAGCAAGCGGGCTTCAATGAAGCTGGGGCGGTCCCACCACCCGGTGTTGGGGACAACGGTCTCCACCCGAAAACCACCACAGCCCTGCAAACGTCCTCACCTGCTGACCTGGGCATCGGACAGAACCGAGCAGCTGATCCAAACTCACAGGGGTCAGTAAAGAAGTTGTGTTAAAGGACACATAGCTCTAACCCAAGGCCTTAAGTTTCAAGGATGCAATTCTCACTGAATTTCAATATAGTTTGGGGTCTCACAGCTGCCAGAAAGGGTATCAGGTGGCAAGGATACTTGCTAACAAGATTAAAAACTGCACTGTAAACTGGCTAACACTTTGCATGGATTATCACCTGCTCAGGAATCAGAATTTCATCCTGGCCTCCATCCAAGCATGTGTCTCTCCCTTTCTGCCCAAATTGATCTTGATGAACTCAAACCCACCACAGCGCAGAGAGCTTCAACCGAACAACGGGCCGGCATCTCAACGAGAAAGATAACAAGGCAAGTGCTCAGCAAGAAGGTCTTGCAGCACAGCTGTGTCCAACAGCTGCTCTTTTTAATATTCCTTCCACAGTGACCTGGCCTTCACTTCACTCTTAGCTTCTTGGATGGCAGAGGAGAAAGAGAGCAATCACAGTGACAAAACAACAACAACAACAAAAGAGCAGTCAGAATCTTACAGACGTTTGAGGAACTCTTTAAACTGGAATTTCCAAAAAAAAAAAGGCACCCCAGAAGCACATGAAAAGAGGCCCAACATTGTTAGTCGTCTCAGAAGTTCAAATCAAAACCACAATGAGAAAAAAAAAAAAAAAAAAAAAAAACCACAATGAGATATCACCTCACACCCACTAGGATGGCTACAATCAAAAAGAGGGACAATAACAAGTGTTGACGAGGATGTGGATAAACTGCAGCCGCAGACACTGCTGGTGGGAATGCAAAATGATGCAGCCACTTTGGAAATCAGTCTGGCAGTTCCTCAAATGTTAAACAAATAATTACCATATGACCCAGTATTCCACTGGTAGGGAGACATCAGGAGAAAGGAAGACGTATGTCCACATAAGAACTTGTACGTGAATGCTCACAGCAGCGTGTTCATAACAGCCCCAGAGTGGAAAAAAATCCAAATACCCGTGGACCGATCAATGGATAAACAAAATGCTGTAGATCCACACAGGGGACTATTAGGCAACAATAAAAAGTCAGTAAGCACTGACACCTGCTATGATGTGGGTGAACCTTGAAACACTCTGCTCAATGGAAGAAGCTAGACACGAAAGGTCACATTATTGTATGACTCCATTTACACGAAAAGTCCAGAATAAGCAAATCTTGGGTGAAAAACAAAAGGGGTTGCCTAGGGTTGGAGGGGCGTGACAGCTAAGGGTTCTTTTGGGGATGATGAAAACGTTCTAAAATTAGATTGCAGTGATGGTTACACAACTTTGTGACTGCATTAAAAAACGACTGAATTGTGCACCTTAAACGTGCGAATTGTGTTAATAGGTGTATCGTATCTCAGTAAAGCTGTTACGAAAAACAGAAAGAAAACAGGAAATAAATGAAGTTACAAAAAGCATAAGTATTCTAAGAAGGCTGAGCTCAAGAACCCAGTCCTGGCTGAAAAACCAGATGATGGAGCTATTCACACGCCACTGACTGTCTCCACGACGGACAAGCCACTCACCAGTCTGGATACAGGGCAGCATTCCTGGGTGAGACCACTGCCCCCACCACCACTCCAAGGGGCCTCCAGCCACCGGCCAGGTCCTCCACTCGGGCCGCCCTGGGACCTACCAGTCGTGCACCAACACAATCCCCACTCCCAGCGGTTCCCAAGGAAGTTGGCACCTGACAGGAATTCAGAAACAACACACTAAGGAAAGGGAGGGGAGCTGCTGCAGTAACCAAGGCGAACTTCTCTTCTGACACTTGGCTACCCTGCCACTTGTCCCCGACCCCATCCTAAACCATCAAACTCAACAAGGGGCACAAGTTCAAGGTCACTGAAAACATGATCGTCACCGGGGATCTCACTTCTAGAATTTTATGATTAGCTGCAAAAAGTAAAAAGGCCTGTAACTTCCTACTAAACTCTCACATTTGAAGCAAAAGAGAAGGGGGATTACCACATTAGGCATCTCACCATGAAGACTGAAATAACTCAGCCACGGTACTTTTTTTTTTTTTTGGCCGCACCTTGCAGCTTGCCGGATCTCAGTTCCCTGACCTGGGACTGAACCTGGGCCATGACCGTGAAAGCACCAAATCCTAACCACTGGACCGCGAGGGAACTCCTACTATTTTCAATTACAATAAATATCGTGGCTCATGATAGATATTTAAGTTTATAGACCAAAGACACAACACGGAAATGGAGTTCTCCCAATCAAAAGAAATTATCTATTCCCACAAAGCAGTAAGAAAAAAGAGGCTGATGAACGCTCTGCAGTGAGTGGAAAGAAAACGCATCCACAACTGTTTTTTTAGGTGGGAGAACTACTTGCTCAGAAAAGAGGCTGTTTAAGATTTAAAATTATTAAAGGGCAAAGGGCAAGCATAAGGAAAAGACACTACGTTCTGTCCTCACACAAGACCTCAAAGCTTCTGGAAAGCCTTTCAAGAGGACAGATGTTTGGGGGGGCTTCTGGGAACAGCCTAGGAGGTGAGGTATCAGACTAAGGACAAAGGGGCAAAGGGAGGAGGAGGTGGGTCCTGATGCAGGTCTGGGCAGCTAGAGAGAAGGAACAGTTTTCTAGGAGGGAGAGAAAACGGAGTATCAACCACTACCAATCTCCTTGGGCTGGGAAGAAATGTCAAGTGTGCTCCCATTTGCATGAGAGGGGTGAGGTGCAGGAAAGAGCCGGGACAGGTGAAGCTGCAGTTCCAAAGCCATTAGGGGCTGGCAGCAGGTTCTCAGAAATCCAGGTCAAATGGGGGGAGGCGGGTGGACACGGGAAGGAAATACCGTATGAGAAATAAAGCAAGTGAGTTACATTTCCCAGTACATGGGTATCAGAGACTGGGAGGAAGCCCTGGCCGTGTCGATCAAAGTTAAGAACACGAAAGAGGGTCCCCTGGAGCCCGGAAGGAGGAGAACAGAGGTGTAGGACAGGGAGATCTGGGCAGACAGGCCAGGGAGACTGGGAGTAGCCTGGAAGTGGCCAGAGGGCAGGGGTAGGGAGTACGAGAAGCCTGGGCCAGGAAGAGACTAGGGGTTGGGGGGCTAGGAGGCCAGCTTCTTAACAGACGATGAGGAGCCCACCCAGGATGAGGGCCCGGCCTGGGGGGTGGGGCAGGAATCAGGGTAGGTAGGCTAGGGACTCTCAAGCTCAGGGGCTAATGGAGGGAGGGGGCTGAGGAAGTCCCCCAAGGAGGAAACCCCAGGAGAAGGAGGCGGGCCCCAGAGCCTGGGCTTCCTGGGACCGAGGAAAACGTAGGGGGCAGCAGGCACGTCTCAGGCCTGGGAGGGTCCCGAGTCAGGGGGAACCACTGGAGAGCTCTTCGGGGTCCGAGAAGGGCTAGAAGGAGGGCTGGTCCTGGGGCGACAGGCCACGGGGAGATAGGGCCGGGTCTGAGGCCGCCAGTCCCCGGCTCTGGTCCGCAGAGTTGGGGTGCGCCGGAGTCTCCCGGCAGGCCCGGGCAGGAGGCCCGTCCGCGGCCGCGGGCTCGAGGGGGCGGCGGCGCGGCCCGGCCAGTGGGCGCCGCGAGAGGCCCGGCAGCCGGCTCACCTGCAGCACCACCTCCACGTCGTACGAGTTACCCTTGCTCTTCTGGTGGCCGCGGAACTTAGAGCCGCTGTAGAGCAGGCTGGTGGCCACGCCGGGCTGCTGCGTGTTGATGGGCGGCGGCGGGATGAGCGAGGCGGCGGAGGTGGCCGAGGCACCGGCCGGCGGGGGACACTCGGTGCGGACCGGCATCGCGGGGTCCCCCGGAGCCAGGGCTGGGGGAGGGGGAGGAACCACCGCCGCGCGGGAGCCGAGGAGGGTGGCCGGGGGTAAGGCCGGCGCCCGCGTGGGGCGGGAGGGGTCCACCCGCCGGCCGCCTGCGAACTGAGCGCTCCGGCCGCCACCGGGACCCCGGGACCTGCGAGCAGGGCCTCCGGGTGCTAAGCGAGCCCCCTCCCCGCCTGCGCTCGCACACACACCCCTTCCGATTGGCTCCGGCGCGCCGGGGGGCGGGAGCAGGCTAGAGCGGCGCTTCTGCCTATTGGCGGGCGGAGACAGCACGTGGCGGACACCGAGGCCCTCTGGGACTTGTAGTCTTCTTCCCGAGGCGCGGCGCGGGGGCGGGGCCTGGGCGTTCGTGATACTGATTGGCTGCGGCGTGCGCTGAGGCGCGCGGCGACGGCGCGCCGCGAGTGTCGTGCGCAACATGGCGGGGCCCAGGGAGGTTGAGGACGCCGGCGGCCGGTGAGAAACTCCGGTCGCCGGTGAGAAGCTTCGTGCGGCCCGAGTGCGCAGCGTGCGGTCCCTCCGCTCGGTGTTCCCCGCGCTCAGATCTCGCGCGGTCGTTCTCCCAGGCCCCCGCGCGATGTGGAGGAGCTGCCTCCGGCTGCGGGGCGGGGGTCGCCACCTCCTGAACTGCCCCCGGGGTGGCCTCACCGCCTCCAGGGGGCCGGGGCCAAAACCCCCGGCCCACGCCCGGGCCTACGCGCCCCCAGCAGGTGAGGGAGGCCAGGGCGGAGCAGACTGAGGAGTTGGCCGTACAGGGTCACAGGTCGGAAGGGAAGCCCCGGCAAGGGCAGGGACCGCCCCAGGGCGCACGCGCGTCGTTTTTTTTTAGCACGTGTGGCTTTTTTCTCTTCTGTTAGGAAAGCAGAAGTCATCCTTGTTTTCAGGCGGGGAAATTCGGGTTCTGGGTCGGGATTGCCCCAAGGGAGAAGAGCAAACTCTGAGAGGTTTGCGGGGTAAAGGCCGGTCTGCCGGGCTGCTTTCTTTGTCCCCGCGACCCGGCACCGAAGGGACCTGGAGCCCGGGCTTTCAGTCTTCCATCCCGGCCGCTGTCTCCGCAGCTGTCCTGACCCTTCCCCCTACTGCCTTCCCACGACCCCTGCCATCTGCTAAGGCGTTAACACCCCGTGCCTCTTCCTCCCCTTCCGACTCAGGTGAGGCTTAGAAGGTAGTGGCTCTTTCGTTGCTTCTGGGGAGAGGTTTTAGGGGTAAGGGTGGGAGTGACTCCGTTGAGTGAAGATAGTAAAGCTCTCCTTCCAGTCACTCAGTATTGATGTGCTGAGGGCGGGAGGCACCGTTGTCTTCAAGAGAGACGTAGCCTCTACGTAGGTGATGTTCAGTGTCGAGTGCAGAAGGTTGTAACACCCTGGTTAAACAGTAGCCTATATCCTGTGTGAGGAAGGTACAAAGAAGCACCTACTCCCATCTTGGGGGTTTTGAGGGTCTAGAAAGGGTCTTGGGTGAAAGGACATTTAAGCTGAGGCTTGACAGACGAGAAGGAGCTCGGTGTAGAGGAGCAGGGAGGGTGGAACGCGGGCGGCTGGAACACGTCCAGAGGTGGCAGCGGGTGAGGGAGCTCGCTGTGACACTGCCTGCTTTAGGAAATCCGGAGCTCCACAGGCAGCTTGGCATCGTGGCAGAAGCACATACCTGGGGTCTGATGCTGCTGAACCAGGAGCTGTGTGATCTTAGGCATGTGACTGCTTCGTTTGGACATCATTTTCGTCTGTGAGTTGAAGGGCTAGGTTGTCTCTGAGCGCCCTTCTGTTCCATAATTTTATACAAATAGGGAAGAGGAATGGATGTAGCAGGGAGCAGAGAACTCACCTGTCAGGGCCCAGGTGAAGGGCCTGGAGGTGATCCATGAAGAGCCAGTAAAGGGGAAGAAGAAAGGGCATCTGTGACCGTGTGATTTATGATAAGAAATGTACACATTTGGTCATTTTCTTGTACTGGCATACATCTCCTAAAACCCTTGTAGCTTACTAAGTAATGGGAGCTATGGGAGAATCTTTTGTTAAAATAGTTGGTCTTCTGTCCTAAAAGAGCTCCAGAGTGATAAAGGTGAAAGGAGGGTCTTATTACTCATAACAAGCCCCTTTCAACCACACCTGAGTGTATGTTAACAAGGTGACTTTTTCCTTAGGGAAAGCCCCTAAGGATGGCGGCTGATTGCCAGGGGAACCAAACACACTTGATTAGAGGATTGGAAGTTTCAGCCCCACCCCCTGACCTCTGGGAAAGGGAGAGGGACTGGAGATTGAATGGAGGTTGATCACTAATTACCTGTGATTTAATCATGCCTGTGTAATGAAGCCTCCATAAAACCCCTGAACTATGGGGTTTGGAGAGCTTCAAGGTTGGGGAACACGTGGAGATGCAGGGAGGGTGCCCAGAGAGAGCATGGAAACTCGGCACCCTTTCCTCCATACCTTGCCCCACGCATCTCCTCCATTTGCCTGTCCCCGAGTTGTATCCTTTTGTAGTAAACTGGTACTCTAGTAAGTAAACTGTTCTCGTAAGTTCCGTCAACTGCTCTAGCAAGCTGTCATGCAGGACATAACTCTTGTAAGACTGAGTCCTTAATCTATGGGATCCAGCGCTGTCTCCAGGCGGGTAGTGTCAGAATTGAGTCAATTGTAGGACACTCAGCTGGTGTCTCAGAGTTGATCAGTGGTATCCGATCGGTAGGGATCCCTAACCCTAACCGCCCCCCCTCCACGTTTGGAGCATAGTATCTGTGTGAGTGTGTAGCGTTGTTTTTCCTTTACAGCACCTCAGGGAGGCAGCACACGAGCGAAGGGGACACGTTCAGGAATTCCCTTAAGTTTCCTCAATCAGAGGGTTCATCCAGTTGGTGGGTGCCACTTGCCGTCATGGTGGCACTGACCTGCCCGTGTTCCTTTCTACTGCAGACTTGCTAGCTTCGGCTCTTGGTAGGTTGTCAAACGTGGAGGAAGATAAGAGTGGGTGAAAGAGTGCCGAGCAGTGGGACGGAGCGTCTCGCACCGACCTGAGCGCTCTGCTTTTCCGACCTGAGCGTCTGTGCGTCTTTGGAGGAGTGGAAGGTTAAACCCAAGTGGTGGCTTCTCCGTGAAGACTTGGAGAGGCAAGTAGATTGAACTTGGCTCCTTAGGGACAGCTGTGCCATTGAAGGTTGTCGGAAGGCGAGGAGGGGGTTAGGAGAGGGTCACCGGGCTGTGTGGCGTCCAGCCCCGTACCAGCCGTTGGAGCCGTCAGCCGCTTAGAGGGGAAGGTGTTCGGAGAGGCTGCCTGTCCAGCTGAGGACGACACCGGTGAGGGCAAGGCTGGGGGTCTCCTCTGTTTACAAGTTGTCTGTCGCCTGCACAAGTGGTTTAGCTTCTCAGTCTCTGCCGCATCTTCAGAGGCTGCTTGTGCTGGGTTGAGGCAGATGCTGTAGATAAGGAGGCCGGCCTGCCACCTGTTTTTGTTAATAAAGGTTTATTGGAACCCAGCCCTGCTCATTCACTGACATGCATGTAGGGCTGCTTTCACCACAGTGCAGAGTTGGCTGGCTGCACCAGAGACTGGATGGCCTGCAAAGCCTGAAATACTTTATTTGGCTCTTGGCAGAAGTGTGCCAGCCCCTGCTCTGGATGCTAGAACAATTTGGAGAAGAGGTGCGTTGAAGGATTTTTTAACAGCTTTATTGCGATGTGATGCACTTACAGTTCGCTCACTGAAAGTGTACAACTCAGTGGTTTTCAGTATACCCAAAGGGGTTGTGCAGCCATCGATTCTAGAACATTCTTATCACCCCAAAGAATCCCTGTACCCTTTAGCTACCACTCTCCGAGTACCCCCTCAGTCCCTCCAGGCCTAGACAGCCACTGCTTTATTCTCTGTGTCTGTAGATTTCCCTAGTTTGGATATTTCATATAAATGGAATGTGGTTTTTTTGACTGGCTTTTTTTCATTCAGCATGTTTTCAAGGTTTATCCCAGGGGTGACACGTGTCAGTACTCCATTCTCTTTCACAGCTGATAACATTCCATTGTAGGGACACACCATGTCTTATTTATGCAGTCATCCATTGGTGAACGTTTGGGTGGTTTCCATCTTTTGGTGTTCTGAATGCCTCTGTAAACACTTGAGTACAGGTTTTTGTGTGGGCATATGTTTTCGTTTCTCACAGGCAGGTATCTAAGAGTAAAATTGCTGGATCAAATGGTACCTAACTTTCTGAGGAACTGCCACCCTGCTTTCCAAGGTGGCATTTCCACCAGCAATGTATGAAGTTCCCAGTTTCTCAGCCTCCTTCCCAACATCTGTCTTTTTGGTCATAGCCATCCTAGTGGGTGTGAAGTGGTGTCTCGGGGCTTTGCTTTGCACTCCCCTGATGATGAATGATGTCAAACATCTTTTCGTGTGCTTTTTGGACACTTGTACATTTTCTTTGGAGAAATGTCTATTCAGATCCTTTGACCATTTCTTAGTTGGGTTATTTGTCTTTTTATTATTGAATTGCAAGAGTTCTTTATATAGCTGGCCCAAAGAATTCTGAAACTTGAAAACGCTCTGTCACAGCCGCCCCAGGATTATGGGTAGAGGGACCCCGAGTCAGAATCTAACTTTAAGGCTTAAGGCCCGCCAGGTGGCACTGTTTAGAAAGAGAAAGGTATTGAGGCAGCTCTGGGAAGGCACGTCCGCTGTTCCTGGTGCACTGTGGTGGTTGCAGTTCTGAGGCTTTGAGTCTTTCCAAAGGAAAGGCCAGCCGGAAATTAAGGCTGGTAACAGGATCACTCACTAGAAAATCGCCTGTTTCTTTATACGTATTGAAGCAGCCTCGCAGGAGAAAGAGAGCCAGTGGACATTAATTTCCAGTTCAGCACTCTTCACAGGAGCAGCTCGTTAATGTTCTCTGCTTATATAGCCTGGTTTCTAGTGGCAGCTTTTAAAATTCAATGCTTTTTCACATACCCATTTCTTTGTATCTACATAGTCCTTAAAATTGTCACTTAAAAGGCACCAGGTGTGGTTTTGCCACAGAAACAGACGTTCTGTAAAGGGAGTGATTCATACTCAAAATAGACCTGTTCTGTGTGATCCTACAAGACTAGCCTGTCTCCTGCCTGTAAGGATGGGGTTTCCATTGCTGGTAGCTCGCCCTCTGTCACTGAGGATATGGGTGCTTCACAGGCTCCTAATCTCATGACTTGTCTTATGAGACCCAAGACCTTGGAGGGTCCAGGGAGAAAACCTCCATCTTTTGACATTGTTGGGGAGCATGGATCCCGCCAAGTGTATTTTCCAGATCCTGGTCTCGTTGCCTGTGTGAACCCCCTACTTGGCTCCCCCACCCTCCTCGCTGGGACCTGCCGGCCTCCTCCCCAGATGTGGGCCTCTGCAGCCATCGTGGGCACACAGACACACACAGACACACACACACACAGAGACACACACAGACACACACACAGACACACACACACACACTCACACTCTGAAAGCCATCAGCACGGTTGGACCTGCCCTGCTCTTCTGCAGCTCTCAGGTGCCGTCTGGCTGCTATGAGGTCTTCCTTTGGCCCAGAGGAGATGAGTCTTCTTGGGTTTAGTGTCCGTCTACCCACGAGACAGTACGTGCCTCGAGGGCAGGGTAGCTTTGAGTCCTGCCCTGGAAGGGGGTTAGTCGTCACCAAGTTTGCTCCAAGACTGGAGTTTGCCCTCCCCTCAGCGCAGCCCGGAACCCGCCTGGCCGGCATCTCTGATCAGCACAGAGGTGGAATTGGCCAGGACAGAGGAGGGGGGCAGAGGTAAGAAGACCCCCTCATGGGAGACATCGCTGTCCCGGCAGCTTTGGGAGGTTCAGCCTGTGCCGTCAGTCTCTGCTCTGTCCTTTCTTTGACCGCCAGGTCTCTTGGGCCCATTTCCCATGGCCGTGTGGTGCATGTGGCAGAATGCTCTCTGCCACATCCCTGGGGGGGGTCCCTCCACCAGGGATGAGTCAGCCTTCAGATCCCCCCACCCCCCACTTCCTGCCTGGTCTGGCTTTGGACTTGCTGCCCAGCCAGGCACTGGAGAACATGCTGGACATCGTCTGGGCACCCCGACTGAGGCTTCCAGACAGATGCAGGGGCCTCCAGTCTCGTGTCGGCGGGGCTGCTGCCCCTAGCCTCTTACTCAGAAGCCACTGATCCATGTGGAGTGGGGAGACCCTTGGGTGCTGTGTGGAAGTCGGGGTGGTCAGTCAGAATCAGCAGTGGTGGTACAGGCTCCTCCTGAGTCTCCACAGCATTTTAAACTGCGCTTTTGAAAAATCTTCCCAGCAGAAAGGAAGAGGTTCTATCAGAATGTCAGCATCACACAGGGTGAAGGTGAGTGTCTGGAATTTTCACTGCCTCTTTTGTTTCTGTGAATGGGTGGAAACACTTTTCACCTCCAGCCAGCTCCTCAGTGAGCTTGACCTTGGCGCTCTCGTCGGGTGTGTTTCTGTAAGCCACCCACCCCCCAGAAGGATCTCGGGGCGTCTTTGCACCGAATCAAGTAGCTAAATATAGGGGTGGTCACTCGATTCTGCTTATTAACCCCTGAGAGGTTTTCATCTGTTCTTTCAAGCTGGCTTTGAGATCAATCTAGACCACAGGAAGCTGAGGACTCCCCAAGCCAAGCTCTTCACCGTCCCCAGCGAGGCCCTGGCCGTCGCTGTGGCCACTGAGTGGGACTCCCAGCAGGACACCATCAAGACATACACCATGCACCTGGTAATAGGTCGCAGCCCGTGCCCGAGGCTGCCACGGGCTTCGTGGAGCACCGGGCAGAATTAGGGATCCTCTCCCGATTTCGATAAGGCCCTGGGGGCTGTGGGCACCCACCCCACCCCCACCCCCAGGGCCTGGTTCCTCCCTGGGTCTCAGGACACAATCCTTCCCTGGCCGCCAGCTCTCTTATTTCCCTCTGGGGCAGCCGTTCCTTTGTTTTGTCAGCTCTGAGGGTCTGTGATGGTCTGTGTCATGTGCTGGTCATGGACATGCTGGTCATGCCTGCTGTCCATCTCCTCAGCAGCATGTAGCCAGCCTGGCTTCAGCTCAGTTCGCACTCAGCAGGGTTGGTGGCGGTGCAGACCCTCCCTGAGAAGCTGGCCTCCCTGAGGCCCTAGAGGAGCAGCTGGGGGAGAGGCCCACTTGGTCACCTTGGGCAACTTGCCGCCCCTTGGGCAAGGTCCCCACCCTGAAAAGTGGGTGGTGGTCAGGATGGGACCAGACGATGCGTCGAGAGTCTGTGCTTCCCGGCACATGGACCCAGGCCCCAGGCAGGCTTCTCAGCCTCTCTGCCCGCGTGCCAGCTCCCCTGGAGTGTCCAGGGAACAGGGGACACGGGCTGCAGACGGAGCCTTCGGGTAGCTCAGCAGCCTGTGGGCCACAAGGCAGATCTGGAAAAACCGTCCTGCCCCTGGGTTGGCTGGCTTGTCCCCTGCTTTCTGAGGCGTCGGGGAGTTGGCGGGTGAGCTTCTCAGCCGGATCCAGGAATGCCTCCACGTTGCCTTCGCTGGACCTGATCTCCCTGGGCCTGGCTTCCCACATCTCTGTAATGGTTACAGTGATAGTACCTCCTGGAAAGGGTTGTGGTGAGGATTGAATTAAACACTGCAGAGCCTGGTAGTACAGAGACTGAGACCTTGGGGGAGTTCATTGTTCCTGGGGCCTGGGCAGTGTCCTCGGGACTGGCTGTGCTGACGGGCTCTCTCTGCCTTTGATCCAGACCACACTGTGCAACACGTCTCTAGACAACCCGACCCAGCGAGACAAGGACCAGCTCATCTGGGCAGCCGCAAAGTTCCTGGACACTGACACCGTCTGGTAATGGACGTGCGGGCAGCCTCCCCGGGGCCTGAGCGAGTCCCTCAGGCTGTTTGACTGGAGCCTTCTCAGTGGAGGAGAGGGCAGGCCCTTACCTCCTCAGCACTCAGCTGCTCTGCAGACCCCAGGCGGGAGGGCACGGGCTGCCCCAGCGTCGGGCCGGCCCTCTCCCACAGCCAGCAGCTGTCCCCTGGCCTGGGGCGGGATAGGCTGGTGGCCTCTGCAGCTCTCTCAGGCTCCAGGACCCAGGGGGTCATGTCCGGCCACCGCACGTTCTCACGTAGGTCGCCTGCTCCTCACTTGTCCTCTGGGTCACGGATGGCCCGACCTTGGCATCCAGCGGCCAGCCTCCTCGTCTGCATCCTCCCTGCGCCTGGGTTCTCTCACGGGTGGGTCAGGGATGTTGACAGGAAGTGGAAGGAATAACCGAGCAGCCCCATGTCTGCCGCCCGAATGCTCCGACACCCGGGTACCTCCAGGATGGCACGTGAAATCGGCACTGGGGCGAGGGGACAGAGGTGTCCCTGCAGAGGCCGCTGGTACTGCTGGTGGAAAGTCCGCGCTGTTTGCGTTAGGGACCGTTTGGTTACAGGGAATAGTACCCTTCCAGCCCAGCTCAGAGAAGGGGGTTTTCTTGGAGACCATCCCAGTACTGAGAGCAGTTGCGGGTGGGAGTCCCCTCTGCCCTGGGGGCCACTCCTCTCCCCTGCGCAGCTGCCTCCCCGCACCCTCGTGACCTCCCTGCCACTTCTGCTCACACCGGCCTGGCCGCCCCGGCACCCCCAGGCTTCCATCCCAGGAGGCCTTGCAGCTCAGCTCCCCTCAGCTGACCTCATCTCTGTCTCTTGGTCAGAACAGTGGTGTGGCCTGGCATTGGTGGTGCCGGGCAGGGCCGCTGCGGCCGCGTCTGTGGCTGAGAGGCACGTGGGCAGACAGGCAGCTGGCCCGTGGCCGGGGCGCCGCCTCTTGGGAGGGGCTGGCAGGCAGGACGAGTGACCGAGCTTCTGGCGCAGCATCCTGGGACCAAGGGGGTGTGGGTCTGGGGACAGTGTTAGTGTTGAGGGCAGCACCAGGGCAGCACTGCAGGCAGTGACCTGTCGATAACTGGGGGTGTTTGGGACAGTGGGTCTCAAAGTCAAACTTACGCAGAACCCCTGGAGGGCTTGTGAAGCTGCAGGCTGCTGGTCTCCACCCCCAGAGGGTGGGGCCTGAGGATGCGCATTTCCAGCGAGGTCCAGGGTGAGCCCTGGGCCACACTTTGAGAACCACTGCTTTAGGGGAAAGGCGCGGGGGCGGGGGTAGGGGGTGGAGAGGTCTGCTGTTGCGTTTTGTGTATCTGTGTCTGTCGCTGGATGAAAGAATTGTACTTTTTTATTAATGGAGGTGCTTTTGCACTGAATTAGCTGCAGGGTGGAAGAACCAGAGACGCTGGTGGAGCTGCAGAGGAACGAGTGGGACCCAGTCATAGGCTGGGCCGAGAGGAGGTGAGCCGCTCAGCGCTGGGCAGGCCAGGGTCCAGGCCATGCTGGACAGCCGAGGCCCTGAGCTGGTCAGCGTTCTGAGTTCAGAGCACCCAGGGGACTCAGGACAGGGCCACCTTGGGGGAAAATGCTGTTCAGTGCTTCTTCCCCCATTGGCTGTGTGACCTTGGGCTAGTGACTTGATCTCTCTGAGCTCCCTTGTCTGTGAGTGAGGCTCATAATCCCTCCCTTCCCAGGGTGTTGGGAGGTGTACGCGAAGTGATGCACCCTGCTTGGCACACACTGAATGCTCGCATTGGCAGATACCGCCCTGCTCGTTGTCACAGTTGCTGTGCAGTCGTATACACAATCACAAAGCAGCGTGTGTGATCCTCACACATGGAGAAAAGTCTGGACAGGTGAACCTGTGGGTGGGAGGTTTCCAGGGATTGATGATGCCCAGTGCTTTTTCTTGGCAGGAAGACTCTTATGCAGAATTGAACAGGCCATTGATATGGCACAGTTGATTCAGTTTCATTTCATTCCCAGGGGATTCGCAAAGGGCTCTGACCCTGTGCTCCCTTGACCACAGTATTTTGTAAGTGTGCGTACATGGAGTGGTTTTGGCATAGCGTTTTTTATCTGTACACATTTCCTGAGCACCCACGATGTGTCGGCATCCTTGGGTTTTGTAGTAAGAGGCATAGCCAGTGTGCTGAAGGATCAGATAAATCCGAACGACTAGATGCCACGTGAGAACCGCAAAGATGCGATGCCATTTTGGAGTGCAGTGAAATGGAGCAGTAGTTTGGTGCCTGCAGGCCTTTGCTGTGGTACAGAATTGTCAGCTTTTTGTGGCAGTTGAAATTTCTCACCCGTAGCAGATTACAGGAAAACGTGGCCACTTCCTGTGTTCCATTTGTACTATTGGAAATTTCGGAAAGACTGTTTCTAAACCAATGGGAAAAATCAGTGATATGTGAGAGGAAATTACAAAAATTGCTTTTATTCCATTGTTTTTTCCTGCATTTTATGTAGTTAAGATTGTTCTTGAAAATGTATTGTTCTTGAAGCTAGCTCGTGTCCCAGACTAAAAACAGTGCCTTGTGTATGGTAGAGGCTTAATAAATGTGTGAAAAAATGATTGCCTGATACAGGACATACACAACTATTGTAAAGAAAACAATATTTAAAAGAAGTCTTTTATGGCTCATATGTGAGGACTTTTCTGCAAGGGTTTGAAACGCAGGCAGCCCATAGTTCTGATGGACGTTCAGGCCGATGAATTCGAATTTCAGGAGCTATAGGTGACCCCCTGCTTCCCGACTTGCCAGCTGTGCCTCCATGCAGAGCTGTTTCTTGCCCTCTGCTCTTGGTGACAGAAGGCTACTAGGTCAGGAGGCCACTGACTGCAGTGGCAGGTGCTGTCCGCATTCCCAGCTGGCCCCTGAAGGGGCACACGTGTGCTCAGCAGGCTGGGGCTCTGCTTCTGGGCAGAAGCTGGGCTGCACAGCAGGACAGACAGACGTGCAGCCTCTTCCTTTTAGATACGGCGTGAAGATCGGCTCCTCCACCAGCATCATGGGGCCCAGCATCCCAGCCCGGACTCGGGAGGTGCTGGTCAGCCACCTGGCCTCTTACAACACGTGGGCCCTACAAGGTACGTGGTGCTTCCTGTCGGCCAGGGAGGACGGGCTGGGGGTGGAGGGCTGTCATGCTAACCTGTCCCCTGGTCCACGGGCCAGCAGGTTCACACCCTCTCTGGGGGACGTGGCTCTCCCCTCTTCAGGAGTCTCCATTCAGGTCTCCCTGGCCTGGCCCGGATCACGGGGTGGAGTGCTCGCTCTGATGGGCCGGGGCCCGCCCCAGGCAGGAGCAGAGCAGGGATCCCCGAGGGAGAGCAGAACGCTCCTTGAGAAGTGTGGCGAAGGCTCTGTCCCCCGCCTGGCGACTGCCCTGTGTGGGATGGGGGCCCCGGGTCCTGACCTGGCTGTGTCCCTGCAGGGATTGAGTTTGTGGTGAGCCAGCTCAAGTCCATGGTGCTGACCTTGGGCCTGATCGACTTGCACCTGACGGTGGAGCAGGCTGTGCTGCTGTCGCGCCTGGAGGAGGCCTTCCAGGTGAGGCGCAGCCCCAAGGCAGACTCCCCAAAGGGCACCCCGCCGTGTACACGCGGAGCCCGGATGCTAAGGCCCGAGGCAGACTCCCCGAAGGGCACCCCGCCGTGTACACGCGGAGCCCGGACGCTAAGGCCCGTAGAGGTGTTGTCGCATCACAACGGTAGCAAACCACGGCGGTGCTGCTCAGCCCTCCCTCACCGCCTCGCCGCCTCTTCTCAGCACCGTGTCGGGCGAGGGCTCTTGTTTCCCATCTTGCACAGGAGGAATCCGAGGCGCGGGTGACCCCTGAGATGATGCCAGAGGCGGGTCTTGGGGCACCCTCTGCGGGTGGAGGTTCAGGCCGGTTCGGGCACAGCTGCAGGCTGGGCCCCTCAAGATAAGCAGGGGCCGCGTGGGTGCTTCTAGAAGGAGGCTGAGCCTGCACACCCGGACGTGCGCACGGCGGGCCCTCGGGGCTGCTGCTTGTGCACGTTTGGTTCAGGGGGCTCAGAATTAACAAGGCTTCGCTGCACTGCCGTCTGCGTTTTTAGCTCAGAATGATGGTGCCCTCTGCAGTGCCCTTGTCACTTCTGCAGCCTCAGGAGGTTGGCTGCTCTTACAGATTGGCTCCTAGCGTGATGAAAACCCTTTTGTAGTGACGGCATTTTCCAAGTTCGTCTAGTCATCTGCTCAGGAAAATGCCAGGGGATAAAACTGCTTCTGTGTTGTGAGAGGCCGGCTCCTCTCTGGTGTGAGAAAGGGTTGGATGGGAAGAGGGCGATCTGGGCCTGGAGGCGGCAGCCAGGAAGCCTGGTTTCCAGTCCGGGCTCTACTTTTGGCTGTGGGGTCCGAGCGGGGCCATCGTTCCCTGAACCTCACATTCCACCCACCGCAAAACAGTTCTCTGAGAGTATAAAACGCCCTTCAGATGTTCTGGGCCACCTGAAATGCAGGTAGATCTCGAGTTCCTGGGTGGGGGGCCCACGCCTCTGGGCCCCTGGCCAGGGAGGGGCCCACAGGGTGGGCTGGAGTCGCACTGACAGCCATGCTCAGGACAGGGCTCCTCCTGGAGAGAGTGTCTGCAGCCCTGCCCAGTATAGACATGCCGGCCTCTGCTGCCCCAGCCTCCCCCAGGAGCCCGGCTGCAGCGACCGTGTGGCCCTGGCTGGTTTATTCATCCCCCCCACACCGGGGCACTTACAGCCCTTCCCAGTGAGGCAGCTCATGGAGGGTGACACTTTGCAGACTGCCTCACGTCAGCCTCCCCGTGGGAAGGTCAGGCCCCTGGGGGAGATGCACGTGTGGCCGTACCCATGAGCACAATGCCTGCTCTGCCCGCCCCCCCCCCACCGTGTTTTCTCACCTGTCGCTCCCCCTGCGTGTCTCTCATGTTCGAGCGGGATCAGAGCCTACTCTCCTCAGCTATGGGACGTCGTGGCTCTGGCCAGTCACCCAGTGGCCTGTCCCGTCCTCCCCTCAGATCCAGAAGTGGGGCAACGTCGAATGGGCCCACGACTACGAGCTGCAGGACCTGCGGGCGCGCACGGCCGCCGGCGCCCTCTTCGTGCACCTCTGCTCCGAGAGCTCGGCCGTCAAGCACAAGCTGCCGCAGGGGTGAGGCTGGGCCCCAGGCCGCGCGGCTGGTGGAGGCCGGCTTGCGCCGAGGCAGGGGGCGTGGGTATGAGTGATTACATTGAACGATCCTTTGCCTCGAAGCGCATGGAGCCTCCACTCATTGCTCCGGTCACCTCTGGGTCCCCGAGGCCACCCTGCCTACCCACAGGGCACGTGCTGCTGGGCCGGACCCTTCCACCGGGGAGCTCTCAGTGGCCCTTAGCCCCAAGGCTTTTGTTTTCTGGTTTTTAATCAAACAGTCTATTAAAACTGAGTCCCTCTTGGTCCGAGCCATCTGTTTCTGCTTGTTTGTTCCTACTATTTTAGCAAAAATGATTTACTCTTAAAAATAGAGAGTAGGGTTTCCCTGGTGGCGCAGTGGTTACGAATCCGCCTGCCAATGCAGGGGACATGGGTTCGAGCCCTGGTCCGGGAAGATCCCACATGCCACGGAGCAGCTAAGCCCGTGCGCCACAAGTACTGAGCCTGCGCTCTAAAGCCCGTGAGCCACAACTACTGAGCCCTCGTGCCTAGAGCCCATGCTCCGCAACAGGAGAAGCCACGGCAATGAGAAGCCCACGCCCCGCAACGAAGAGTAGCCCCTGCTCGCCGCAACTAGAGAAAGCCCGCGCACAGCAACAAAGACCTAACACAGCCAAAAATAAATATAAATAAAATTTAAAATATATATTTAAAAAAATAGAAAGTAAACGGTGTTTGTTGTTTCTGGGATAAAAGCCTGGGCAAGGCCACCTGATGTGCACATGACCTGCTCAGGGATCCAAAGGTCCTCCTGACAGGGCCACTCACAGGGCTCCGGACTGCAGGTGGGGTCTCTGGGTGCCTGGGCCCAGGTCAGGGAGCAGGAAGAGTGTGCGAGTTTGGAGCATAAAGGCCTCGGAGCTGCCGGGCCTTGCTCCCATTCCGGGGGCACTGGCCAGCTCCCCGCAGGCCCCCACCCCGCACCCTGAGTGTGCTCGCCAGCGGTACTGTCACATCCCCACCTCACAGGTGACGCCTAGCTGTGCTCTCAGCTGTGGAGGGTCCTTGGGTCCCTGCGGCCTCCGCCAAGGTGGGCTGGCCAGGCCCCCAGGCTGTGCTGGGAGCTGTACCTGGGAAAGGGTCTGCCCTGGGCGCCGCGGAGGGGCGGCCGAGAGCCTAGGAGTCGCTCTCAGCAGACGCCAACTGCTCAGACGCGGACACAGAGGATGGAGAAAGGTAACCAAAGTCCTTTATTTCTCTACCTGTGAAGTTCGGGGGTCGGGGGGAGGGCTGGGCCACAGCCCTAGTCCAGGAGGTCGCTGCACTCCAGGCTGTCCAGCTCGCTCTGCACATGGTCGACGTACTGGTTGATCTCCTTCACGCGCCTGCGGTTCCTCATGATCTCGTCCTTGTGAATCTGCAGGGCAGACAGCAGCCGGCCCGTCAGGCGGGATCCTGAGCCTGCCTTCCTGACTCCGTTCCTCCCTGCCCTCGGCCGCGCTCACCTTGTCCACCAGGTGTGCGCACCAGGAGTTGACCCTGGTCACCAGCTCGTCCTCCCGATTGTCGATCTTCAGGAGGTGGATGTCGTGTGAGGCCCCGACCGCGTTAACGATCGTGTCTTTGTCGACAAAGAGCTGGGGAGCAAGGAAGAGCAGGTGAGGGCCTGGACCCACCCAGAGCGCAGAGGCGGTGGAGCCAGAGGGGACGGGCCCAGCTCCCCGCAGGCGGAGGCCGCGCACAGCTCGCATCCTGCTTCCTCGGCCCGTCTCGGGCGACCACGCCATCGGCCCGGCGGCACCAGTGCCCGGAAGGGGCCCCCGGGCGGCAGGGCAGTGCCTGGGGGGAGCGTGCCCTCCCCAAGAGAAGGCAGGGCAGCCCTGGCCACCTTGCCAAGGGTCTCCAGTCTGACTTGCCTGAAACCTGCCCGTCAGGTGGGCAGCACGAGGCCGGCCGAGGGCCACAGGGCTCCTCTGACGACAGAAGGTCCCACAAACCAATGGGTCTCTGCTGCCCCTCATGTCAACCCAGTTGGACCTGGGGTCCCACCTGGGCTCCTGCCTTCTTCCCACCCGCTTCCCCACTGTGGACGACGCTGTGGGACACGGGCCCTGCCAGGCCCGGCTGGTTCCAGGTATTCACATGTGAACTGGCCACGTGCGCCCAGCGCGGCTGCGGGTCCACGTGGTCACTTCCCAGAGCGGGGAGGCCGTCACTGGCGGCTTTAAGCAGAGGCGCTTCATGTCGCCAACGACGGCGAGGGACCTGAAAGCTCTGCGTTGTAGAGAGGGCACGGGCAGGTGTGTACACGTGGGTTTGTCTCTCCTTCGGGAGTGGTTAACCTAATGGTCTCCAGAATACAGTCTATGGATCTTGAAATGTTAGTGTCTCTGCAAAAAGAGTGTTCTGAGACCCTGTTACTAATACGCTCGCTGATGGTTAGAAACAGAAACCAGACTTTTATCGCCGAGGGCCTCATCTGAAAGCCCCTGTCCTGCCCGTGTCCACCACCCACACGCTCCCTGTCATCTCTGAGCCTCGGTTTCCTCGCCTGTGAGAGGGAACCACACTGGCACCTATGTCACTGTGTCGGCTTGGAGATTAAAAGGGCAAATACACGTCCAGAGCTGCTCAGGGAGCTGGCCCTCGGGAGGCCCTCGGTCCCTGTCAGCTCCTCGTGGTGATTCCGCTTTAGTCAGGGCTTGCTACCGCATGTTTTGTTGCTTAAGCGTAAGGAGACAGTGTAGCATCTCCTGCTACAGGTGTTCCTAAAGGACAGAGCTGATGGGCCCGCAGAGGGAGGGGTGTCCAGCGGGCTCTGCCGGCTGTCCCGTGAGGCCTCCAGGGTGGCACCCGATACCAGTGCCGCCCGGGAGCCCAAGGCAGCCCCTTAGCCCAGAGGCAGAGCCCCATTACCCTGGGGCCTGGGGCCAGGGGCAGACCCAGAACGCCCACTTTGTCTGCAGTGAGGGCTTAGTGCCCGGGCTCGGGATCTCAGACTAAGGTTTGAATCCAGACTCCTCACAAGACGAGGTGTCCTCACAACACATCTTGGGTGTTTACCGAACTTCTCTGAGACCCTGTCTCCCCAGCTTTCCCATCTGTAGACTGGGTGGGAAAGCCACTTTCAGGGGTCCTTTGGTGAGTTAACCAAGCCCATGCGAGCCCAACCCAGTCAGCAGCCTGAGTGTCCCGGGGCGCGGGAACAGGTGTCAGATGGCGCCGTGCAGAGCCACCCTGAAAGCACCCGCCCAGGCTTCTCACCTCCCGTTGACTTCGGGGCCTCCTTTTCTGCATGTCCCAGTCCTGAGAGAGGTGTCACAGACCCAGGAGCCTTGCGTCAAAAACTCCACGACCACTAGGTGGTCTGTCAGGCGGCTCCAGGGTGGGCTCTTGGGGGCAGCCTTACTTCAGGCTCGGGAAGGTGACCTCTCCCTGTGTCTGGGTGTTTGAGGAGGCCCTGCCACCTTTCCACTGCCCTGGCGACTGTCTCGGCCCCTGACAGAGGCTGCGGGGTCGGAACTGCTGGTCCCTGCCTGCAGGACTCCGCCAGCACCTGACAGCGGGCGTGGTGAACCCGGCACCCCGGGTGGGGGCTGACCGCGGTGGGGAAGAGGCCACTCCTGCCTTCCCCGGGGGGCCTGTATGTAGTATGAAGAGTAACCTAAGCAAGTCGACGCGAACACGATAGCTTGGAACCGTGACAGCGGCTCTGACAAGGATGAACGGCTGGGACGGAGAGACAGTGGGCCTTTGGGAAGGTGATGGGGGGGCCTCTCCAAGGAGTTGGGTGTGAGCTGAGATCTGAAACACGGGGAGGAGCCGGGAGCACGGAGGCCTGGGGGAAGGGTGTGTCGGGGCGGGGCTCGGCGGAGACCTTGCTCCAGGACTCACTAGGGGGAAGGAGTCCCTGGTCTCTGGCTGCTACGTGGAGAAGAGCAGTAAGGCCAGGGTCCCGCAAAGGGCGGTGGTAGCTTGCCTTGGTGGAACGCGGAGGAGGAGAGAGGTGAGGGGGACCGTGAATGGTGAAGGAAGGAGAGTGGGTGCCCTTCGCAGAGACACAGCCCACCCGTTGCCGGCCCCCAGCGCAGGAGACCTGGAGCCCCGCGAGCGGGCAGAGACCCCAGCAGTGCTTCCCGCCATACAGACTCGGGGCTGAGACGACCTTCGGGGGAAATCCCGGACCTCAACCTCTATTTGTCGCTGCCTCTCTTAGAAGGTGCCAGAAGCCCCACAGAAATGAGCTTTGGGAAAGCAACCTCTCGGTAAGTTGAAAGCACTTAATTATCACAAGCTCCTCTGTAGCTGGGCTGCACTGGGTGCCCACCCGCTGCTTTGCTTGTTAGCCCGTCTCGCCTGCCTACCGCCCCTCTTGCAGACGAGGAGACTGAGGCTCCGGCAGGTTTTTCAGGCTTTACGGGGGCTGCGGGGCGGGGCTGCGTCTGCCTGTCGCCCGGGCCGCCCCGCCCCCCGGGCCCGGGCCTGGCCCCGCCCCCGCCCCCGCCCCCGCGCTCACCGGACGCACGGCGTCCGGCAGGTCCTCGTCCAGCTCGCCCTTGACTATCTTCTCCCGGGTGCTGATGGCGATCTCCAGGAGCTTCTCGTGGTGGTGGTTCTCCAGGTCCCGGCACTGAGCCATCGTGCAGCGCGAGTTAAGCCAAGGCCGGGCGCGCCCTCCCCTGCGCTGGGCCCCGTGTAGCCCCGCTTTCAGGGCCCTCCGACTCGCCCGCCACGCACCCCCTCGGGGTTCCTCCTGGCCCGCTCCCCTCCAGCCCTTTCTCCCTGCAGCACCCGGAGTCCCACCCGCCCCTGCTGTGCTGGCGGCTCTCACACTCTGTTGTGACCTAAAGGCCTCCTCTCGGAACCTCCTCTCCCCGTCCTCTGGGCCTTTGCACAGGCTGCCTCCTGAGCCCGCCTGGGACGCCCTCCCCACCGTTCCAGCCCGTCCCTCTGGCCCACCCTCAGGCCCTCACTGAGTGGACCCTCCTTCAGGGAGTTTCCATAGTGCTGTCACCCAGCGGGACCGTGGGCCCAGGAGGGCAGGACTGGGGTGACTTCTGGGGTGGACTTCAGGGCCCAGAGTTCAGGTGGCAAAAGGTCAGGCGTGCCCCCAGTGTTGGTTCCTGACCTGACATTTAACCCATCTCCTGATAGATGATGTGTCAGTGGCTTCAGCACAGAGGTCGCCCCACCCCCAGGGCATGTGCACCTGCGGGGGGGGGGGGGGGGGGGGGGGGGGGTGGATCTGGGGGTGTGGTCTCCTGGTGAACAGCCGGGCCAGGACTTGTGCTGCAAGCGGTGGCCTGCAGAGTCACCCAGTGGGCATCCAGACTTCTACTCTAATAAGGCGCCTTTATGCTGAGGGTCAGGAGGTATTCCTCGAACATTCCAAGTGGTTGGCAAATCTCCATCCTTTGAAGGTGGGCTTTTTTCCTTGGTGGCAGTGGGAGGGGGCAGGCATGTGACCCTACAGGGAGCCACCTGGAAGGGACACCACTTAGTTGCATCCTGCTTAGCTGTGAAGAAGCTGTGCCCTTCTGTGCCTTTTGTTTAAAATGCAGGCGCCTCCCCCCAGCCCCCTGCAGGCGGGGAGCGGTGGTGCGGGCCCTGAGAGCCCCGCGGCCCGCAGCGCCTCCCCACAGAGGGGCATCAAGGAAAGGATATAGGCTTTGGACGTTTTCGACAAAGAGTCCCACCAAGTCGATGATGTTCCTTTCAAACATGTTAATAGTCTCCTGGAAATGATAAAGAACATGCATATTTAGACATGAACTCCACCGAACTGTACCAGAGCAAAAGTTCTCCTTACCACTCAGCGGGCAGTGACCGCAGACCTTGAGGGTAAAGACCAACCACCTGACCTTCCCCAGGTGGCGGTGTGAGCCGACCCTGGCTCTCTCCCGACGGCTGCCCCCAGCTGTCACCCTCCAGCCACTTTGCCTCGGTCACCCCCCGGGGCTTTAGTGTGACACCTTCTCCAGGCCTTTGCCTGTGCTGGTCTCTCTGCCAGGAGCCCCCCACCAACAGGCACACACAGAGCTCACCCCATCCTTGGGGTTCTCAGTGGCATCTGCCTCCATCACCTCCAGAGAAACAGGAGGGTCGCTAGGAGCCAGGCTGCCTGCCAGCTCCACTACTGGGTGTAACTCGGAACGTTGTTAACTTCCCTGGGCCTCAACTTCCCACCTATGAAATGGGTTCCCTTCTCATAGTATGTGTCTCACGAGGTTGTGGTGAAGCAGAAACGGGTTTCTTCACACAAAATGCTTTGCAAGGTGCCTGGCAGAGAGGAAACCCTCGGGAATGCCGGCTGTTACCCCAGGCCTCTCACCTGCAAGGCTCCCACCTCCCTCCCTGAGGGCACCCCTGTATTGCTGCATCTAGCGCTGAGCAAGGCGCCTGGGCCTCACCCAGAGGCCCTGGGGAGGGCTGCTACCCAGTGAGCCCACAGGGTGGGTCACGCCCCTGACCTACTCTAGACTCCAGGGGCTGCAGGGTGGGCCGACGGCACAGGGAATGCACCTGAATCCGAGGACTGTCTATAGACTGAGCTAATTATACATTTTTCAAATGTGTGTAAACCCTCTTGTAATGAAAAAAAATAGGGCCATTGAAAAGTACGGCTCCACTTAGTAGCTTTTTGGCGGCTAGTAAGTCAAGCACAGGTTCTGGTGAATTGCGAGATGCTGACAAGGGGGTCCTCCCGGTCGGAAAGGTTGGGGGCCGCTGCCTGAGCTTCCCGATGCCCCAGAGATGTGGGGAGCGAGCGTCTGCTCTGTGATGTGCTGGGAACCTGGACGAGGCAGGCATCGGGGAGGCGCTGGCGGGGGCGGGCCACGGCAGCAGGCGAGAGGTTCTGTTGGTCACTGCTTTGCAGGCCCCGGCCTCGGGCGCCAGCTGCCTGGTAAACAAACGCGCAGGTCTGTCTGGCCGCCCTGGGTTTCACGTAGCAGCGCTTCATTAGGCTCCTCGCTCGCCCCGAGATGCAGCGACTACAGGCTGCAGTGCCGGGAGCCTTCGTTCTATCCCGGAGTGGGGGGTGAAGAGCAGGGTGCATTTTGTTTCTCAACAGCTCCTTGGGTCTAATAAAGGACTCTCCCTGCCGCGGCTCTGCACTCTTCCTAGATGGGGAGACCGTTCCAGAGGAACGAGCTCACCTCTCATGCTGCACAAGGGCCACCTGTCACCTCAATGACTGAACAGCACCAGAAGCACAGAAAGCTTTCGTGTGACCCGCCGAGTAGCTCCCGGGAAGGTGCTCCCTCGCCAGGTTCTTGCCGTTGCGTCACGTGTGTTCCCTGGGCCCCACCTCACCTCCAGCTGCTCCACCAGCTGCATCTCCAGCGTCACGAGCACGTTGACCAGCTCGGTGATGTCCTCGCTGTGCTCCGCCATCTTTTTCTCGAAGTTGGTCAGTTCAGACTCGTCTCGGATGGAGCTTAAAGTCTGGAAACAAAACCTGTGCTCTAGGGATCCAGTTAAGTGTAATTCCTGAAGGGACAGGCAGCAGTTTGGTTTTGTGGGTCAGAACTTGGATCATGGGGTCGGACTGCCCAAGTCCAAGCGTCAGCTCCACCCCCTCCACGGCGGAGGCTGTCAGAGCAGAGGCTCCACCAGCTGGTGAGTTATTAGGTGTGGAAGGAGCGATGGCTTCAGAGGCACATGGACCTGAACTGGGACCCGGCTGGGTCACCGTGGGACCTCGAGTGACTCCCGTCTCCTCGGGTGCAGGGGCAGAGAGCCTGAGCTTCACGAAGCCTGGGGATGGGGCGCTGTCTGTGAGGCCCTGGGTCACCATGGGCTGACTCCCAGCCCAGCGGGGCTCTGCGGGGGAGGTTGGAACACAAGGTGGGCCCTGTCTTGGGGGAAGCCAGCTGGACCCCCGCAGCGCCCCGTGTGCAAGTAGCTGTCAGGTCCGTCTGCAATGAGAGGTGCTCGTGGGCTGGAGAGCGTGGGGGTCCGAGCCGCACCCAGTACCAGCTGTTCACTGACGAGGGGCCTGGGGGCTTGGCTGGCAGACGCAGTGTCAGCGGAGTGACCAGGCGTGACTGGGGGGCGAAGGGTGTTTGTGGTCATGGCCACCCCATCTGGAGGAAGATCAGGCCCCTTCCCGGTATTGAGCCTGACCTGAAAGCAAGCGGCTTGCCCCGTGGGTCTCGGGTCGTCAGAGGCAGAGGGGCCGGGCCTCTGGCGGGTGGGCACCTGGAGGAGGGGGGAGGGGCTGGGGGCGGGGCCTACCAGCAGGTGCTTCTCCTCGAACTTGGCGATCTTGTGCTTGCCCTGCTCCTGCTTTTCCTGGATGGCCTCCTGGACACACCCCATGAAGGTGTCAAGCTCCGCCTTCCGCTTCTCCTGCTGCTTCAGGCCGGACTCGAAGATGTTCAGGCAGACGATGACGAACTTGTCCTTGTAAGTGAGTGGCCGTTAAGGAAGCTCACGGCTGCCTGGGGGGTGCACATGGGGTGGAAGCAGCTCCCGTAGCAGAGCTGCAGTTGGGATTTGGAGTATGAATCAGTGGTTGGGCATCTCCATCCTCAGCCTGAGGGATCCAGGGAGGGTCCTGCGTGGTGGGGGTGGGGCGACAGAGCAGAGACCCCCAGGGGACCTGAAGGGGTCAGGAGCCCGGAGAGCGGGGATCGGCCAGGGAGCTGAGCAGTGTGTGTTTCTGTCTCTGGGGCCCTGTTGTCCAGGCCGTCTTTGTTGCTCGGCGGCCACAGGTGCACAGGGAGGCTGCGGAGGTCAGGGGACCGCAGGCTCGGGGCAGAGAGCCCCAGGTTCAAGGCCTGGCCCTGCAGCTGCTTCTATGGCCTCCTCGCTGCTCTGGGCTGAGGGTCCCACATCTGTAGCGCCTGCCACACGAGGGGTGCTTAGGTGCTGAGGTCAGGCGGGGCTGCAGCCTAGGGCCGGGCTGGGAGGAGAGCTGACCCCCCGCACTCTGCTGAGCGGTGGGTGTTCAGGGGCAGGCTTCTCTCTGTGACTCGCGGCCCCTGCTCAGTGTCTGCCCTGAGTCCCTCAGCCACGGTGACAAGTGCCCATCACATCATCTGGGGGATGGGATGCAGGCTTAGCCCACAGCTCCTAACTGCACAGCCTGGACAATTCACCCTCTCCAAGCTCAGCTCCCCCAGCTACGAGAAGGTAGTTGGGGTCCAGTATAGCACCCACCCCATGGGGTGGTTGAAGCAGTTTTAAATGCTGCATGCAAAGCGCACGGCAGGAGCCCACAAACAAGGTAATGAGGGTCAGAGTCACAGACACGGTCAGCCAGCCTCCATCTCTGCCAGCCTGGGCCCTGCTGACCAGATACCTGTGTGTCCCTGCGCTCACAGCCGACCTGGTTCTCGAGGCCCTGGGTGGAAGGGGAGCCCCCCGGACTCCCGCGCCCAGGCCCTGGGGGCGGCTGTGACCTGGAAGGGTATGTCTGCACGAGCTCGCCCACGCCGGGCAGGTGGGACAGCTGGCTACCCTCCACGTCCTCGGCGTACATGCTGTCAAACAGGAAGGGGCCGTTCAGGTGCTCCACGAAGGCCGCCTGCGGTCAGAGACACGGTGGGCTCCCTGGGCAGGGCCCTGCGCTGGGCACCGGGGCCAAGGGCGCCCGGCCCTCGGGAAGGCAGGCTGGGGAAGGGCAGGCGATGGGCCCGGCACAGGCGGGGGTCCAGAGGCAGAAAACTGAAGGGTGCCCAGCTCGGTCCGGCCGGAGGTGAGGCACCACGGAGAGGAATGAGCTTTACTGGCTGCCCCCCTACCCCCACCACCCCACCCCCGCCGCCAGGAACCAGCCAGGGGTCTTAAGGACAGGGGCTGCTCTGAGAGATGGTTCCGGCACAGAGTCCCCGGCCCTTGTGCTGGAGGGGGGCCTGGGGGCCGTGGGATGAGGAGGGGCAGGTCCGCGTGCTGCCCTGACTGAGGTTCTGGCAGCCCAGCAGCCCTGGGCACCAGCTATTCTCAATCAAAGGACAGGCTCTGGGGGCCTGGGCCCTGCTGACCTTCATGGCACTGGCCCATGACCGGCGGCAGCATCCTGGGGCGGGGGTGGGGTGGGGCGGGGCGGGTCCTCTCACCGGTCTCCTACCTTATGCCCCTCCAGCTCCTCCCACCGGGCCTGCTCGTCCTCCAGCTGGGCCTGCATCAGGCTCTCCTGGTGCTTCAGCTCGTCCACGCTGCACTGGTGCTTCATCTCCGCCAGCTCTTTCTGTTGGAGGATTGGGAAGCGGCATCGTCACCAGGGTCGTGGGGTCCCTCCTAGCCGCTGGCCTCCGCCGTGCCGTGGCCTCTCCAGCGTGGGCGGGGATCCGCTCCCCGCAGCCCTTGCCAAGTATTCTGAGCCTCAGGGAAATCAGTGGGGGAAGCAGCACGGGCAGGCCCAGGGGCCGTGGGACATCCCTGGGGTGGAGGCGCCCAGCGCAGACTCGGCCGCTCCCCCAGGCCTCCCCAGCCAGGCTCTGGCCCTCTTGTAGGGCTGCACAAGGGAGAGGTGCAGTGAGTGCCCGAGCCACAGGCCTGGGCATGAGGTCTCGGCCCTCGGCTCTGGGCCCTGCTCCCTCTGGCCCTCCTCCACCCGTCCTGCGTATCCCCCTGCCTGCGCTGGGGGCTGCTGGAGCCCCAGGTGACATCGCCTGTGCTAAGGCTTCAGGTACAAGCACCGCCGACCCTCTGTGCTCCAGTATCTGCTCCCCCCATCCCCGCCCCCTCCTCTCTCTCAGGACTGTGGCCTGCATGCCCTGCCCTCTCCCTCTTTTTTTTTTTTTTGTGGTACGCGGGCCTCTCACTGTTGTGGCCTCTCCCGTTGCGGAGCACAGGCTCCGGACGCGCAGGCTCAGCGGCCATGGCTCACGGGCCCAGCCGCTCCGCGGCATGTGGGATCCTCCCAGACCGGGGCACGAACCCGTGTCCCCTGCATCGGCAGGCGGCCTCTCAACCGCTGCGCCACCAGGGAAGCCCTGCCCTCTCCCTCTTATGCCGTAAGCCGCATGCCAGCTTCCTGGTCCCTGAATGCTCATCACATCATGAACTCTGCTGAAAACCACAGGGTTCTTCTCCACGGGCCTCCGTCTCAGCAGGACAAGCCCTGAACCCCAGCGTTGCCCTCCTGCCTGTCTCCCCCCCAACACAGAAAGCCCCCCAAGCTCACAGCCCCCACCCGTTCGTGTGCTCTGCTGGGACTGTCCACCGTTTCTCAGGGCTGTGCCACCCTTCAGGCACAGCCCCGGGCCCGATGGAAATGGGGAGGCACCGCAAGAGCCTGCCCTCAGCCCTGGTCGGCCTCGGCTGGGCCCAGCTGTCCTGCTGCCCGAGCCTGGCAGCACCAGCAGGTGAGAGGCTTGGGGCTGGCCTGGGGGCAGGCAGCAGCATGGACGGGGGTTCCAGGTGCCCCTGCTTTGCGGGGCTCTGCTCTTACAACCTTTCCCTTATTACTAATCTTGGTGCTTCTAGGCAAAGCCTCTGAGTTGCGGAAGGAGGCTTTGTTTCCCGCGGCACAACGGGGGGCCAAGCTGGGCGGCCTGCCCCCTGTGGAATCTTCTGGAGAAGAGGAGAAACTGGCTGGGGAGGGGCTCGGGAACCGTGCGGTGTCCGGCTGTGCATGGTTTTTTTGTTTGTTTTTGGGGTTTTAAAAAATATTTATTTGGTTGTGCTGGCTCCTTAATTGCAGTATGTGTGCTCCTTAGTTGTGGCGTGCAAACTCTTGGTTGCGACTTGCATGTGGGATCTAGTTCCCTGACCCGGGATAGAACCCCCAAGCACAGGCTCCTTTCTCCCAGGAAAGGCACCAGCTCCCAGAGAGAAGGGTGGGCAGGTCCCTGTCCCCCACTGCCCACGCTCAGCACGCAGGGATATCCCGGTCCTGCTGCCAAAGGCCTCGTGTCGGGCGGGGTTCTTTTTCCAGGGGGCAAAGCACCCACAAACATCATGCTACAAAGGGCGGGAAGCTCACAGCAGGGGAGCAGGATAGAGGCAGGGGCGGTCAGGCCAGGCCGGGCAGTGCACTGGGGAGGGGGGCTTCCTCCCGGCCCTGCTGCCAGACCACCGGGCCCAGCTCCCCGCTCAGCACCCCGGCCGCGGGGGGCCTCTCTCTGGGGCCGGTGCCCTCGGCTCAGAGGGCGCTACCGTGAGCTGTTGTGGCGTGGAGGCAAGTCCTGACTCTGCCCTGAGCTGCTGACCCCGCTAATCGCCCACCCTCACTTGGTCCCCCGACTTGTTCACCCAGAAAAGCAGACGGCGGCCTCGAGGTGGGAGGTGGCACGACAGTGACAGGGACAGTAAAGGCACCGCAAGGAGGGCCGCCCTGCACTCCTCCTGTGGACGCACCCCTCCCCAGACGCCGGGGCCTGCACGCTGACCAGCGGAGCTGGACGCACAAGGGCCACGCTACCGTGTGGTCGTCGATGCGCCGGAAGTCCAGGTACACCAGGTCGGGGAGGTAGGCACAGATGAACGTCCTGTAGTCCTCGGCCTCGGCGACCGGGTTCCCCGAGAGGCTGAGCGTCCGCAGGTCCTTGAACCGCCGCAGGTAGATGATCTGGGGGAGAGGGGGGTCGCCTGGGTCCTCTCTCCGTCCTCTGCCCGCACTGGGCGGAGCCACGAGGGAGGAGCCATGGGCTTTGCCCAGGACCCGTGGACCTGGGTCCCCATCTCCTCTTCTTAAGGTGGGTGCAAGGATGTGGTGCATAGGTGTTGAGAGGACCAAATGCCACATGCTGTGAGGGCCTCCACCTGCTCCCGTAATGCCCTGGCTGTGCCCATCGCTGCTGCTCTCAGAACGGGCGGCCTTTTCCAACTGTAAAGTGCTATGCAAGGCCCAGCGCTCGTAAATTCAACGGAACCTGATTCCCAGTTGGCCTGGACCAACTGGGTGGTAGCTAGTGGGATGTCCACTGACGGCCGTTTATTCTTCCTATTGTTAGTAACCGGGGGAAGGTCAGCAAGATGCCCGTACCTCATCCGACAGCAACTCCTGTGCTTTCCTGAAGGAGCGTCTTTGTCATTTGTTTATTTGTTCAACAAAGATCACTAAGCACCTACCAGGCCTCAGGTACGTGCCAGGCCTTAGGGACACAATGGGAACAAAGCCCTTATAGCAGGAGCTGGCACTCTAAGGCAGGGGACAAGAATGTTTTAAAAGTAAGTAGAATCATTGCTGTTTGGTGTAAGTGCTAGAAGAACTCAACGGGGGAGGGGGTGGAGAGGGGGCCTTAGGGACCATGACAGGGGGGGTTTCAGTTAGGACTGAGGCCTCTGAGGCCTGAGGGAGCAGCCAGGGAAGAGCAGGGGCCAGTGCATTCCCAGAAGCAAAACCAGCACAAGCAAAGGCCCTGAGGCAGGAAAGAGCGTCCTGTACCAGGCACTCAGCAAGGCCAGGGGAGGGAACGGAGCATCCACAGCAGGGCGGGGCGTGGCCTGAAAGCCAGTGTCCCCTCCACGCCCAGGCCTGGACCTGCGTCCATTAGACTCTGCAGTGTCCGAGGGGCAGCAAGCCAGAGGGGATCTGCTCGCTGTGGCCCTGGGTACTGGACCGACCCAGGCAGGAACAGCTCAAGACACTCAGAAAGGTTTTCACAAGCAAGATTTGGGGCTATTGGGTGTGCCCTTAATCTGAAAATTCCTGAATAAGCATCATTTCCTGCAGAGCTCTCCTGTGCCCGGTCCTGTAGCAGCCGCTCAGCCCTAACTGACTCAGCCCTCACACCGGCCTGCCCCGCAGGCCACCGCTCTCCCGTACGGATGGGCACGCAGGCCCCGGGTGCTGAGTCCCCGGCCCAAGGCCAGGCGGCCAGGAGCCCGTTAAACCTCAGCTCTCCACTTACACCTCCCTCAGCTGTCCTGTGTGCCCCCGCCCCGCAGGGCCGAGGGCAGCTGAGCAATCAGGTCTTGAACACTGGCAAGAGGTGGGCTGGGTTTACCACCTCCCAGGGGCGTGCAGGGCAAACCTCCCAGACCACACGGCCTCTGGGGTCCGGCCCTCAAACACAGGTGAGCAGCCGGCACCTGATCCGCCCCAGGCCTTTCACCTAAACCTCCTGGCCCGCCCACCCCTCTGGTCTTGGTCGGGTGGGTGAGGGCGCGTCACACCGAGGGGCACCGTGGGAGAGATTTCTCCTGCTCTCTGTCCTGCTAGCTGTGGACAAGGAAGACTGCGGCCTGGACTGCTGGGTCACAGCCACAAGGAGCATCAGCCCAGGGCGACGCTAAGGCCGGCTGAGCCGAGAGGTGGGTCGGCCCCCTCCACACGGCCCCCTGCTCCGGCCTCGGCCGTGGCTGTGATGGATGCGGCTGCAGCGCCCATCTCTCCCCTGCTCTCCGAGCCCCATCCTGCAGCGAGGCCGGGAGGGAGTTAATGCTGGGACGTGGCTCAGCTGCGGGGACAGGACGGGGGCTGATGCTTGGGCCCCGGCACGCAGGTGTTCACTCCTGCACGCCCGCCCAGTGGCACGGAGCCCCCATCACGCACGGCAGCAGTATCTGTCACACACCTGCACGGTGGCTGTGGTTGCCCCGGGGTCACCCAGCTTCCTGAGGTCACCCCGTGGCACCCAGGGCCCTGCCCCGGCCCTGCTGCCAGCTCACAGGGAGTGTTGGCAGGGCGAGCGTCTCTGGTCTGCAGGCAAACCTCCATCCCTGCTGCACTCATTCGTGCGGGGGTGAGGGGCTGGGTGTTCCTTCTGAAACGCAGGCCTGCCCTGGGCACACACGGCGTAGAGCCCCCCACGGCTCTCCTCCACCGCTCTGGCTGCCTGGCCCTGGGCACCGCCCTGCACCCACACCCCGACCCTTCCAGTGACCCGGGGCTGTTGTTGGTCTCTGTCCCCAGTGAGCACGAGCCAGAGGCCCCACGGCCGAGGGGGCCCCACCCCAGCAAATGTCTGCTGAGTGAGTGCGGGGACAGGGAAGGAAAGATCCCACCGGGGCAGGGGCACAAACGGACCCGCACGTGGGCTCTCGTGGCCTAGGCTGGTGTGTGAACATCATCCAGTCTGGAATTCTGGCCTTTCTGGGACAAGGGGAAGGTCGGAGGCTCAGCCTGCGGCCCCCCCGCCCCCCGGCGCCCTCGCTCACGTTCATCATGTTGCCGATCTGGTTGTTGCCCAGCGACAGCACCTGCAGCTTGACCAGCGCGTCCAGCGAGTCGATCTTGGAGATCCGGTTGTTGAACAGGCTCAGGTCCTCCAGGTTCACCAGCGTGTCCAGCCCCTCGATGGCCTCAATGTTGTTGAAGGACAGGTCTGGAGGACGGCTCCGGGTTAGGGTGACTGTCCTGAATCCAACCCCCCCCCCCCCCCCCCTGGCTCTGCTGCCACCTTCCCGGCCCTGGACTCGGGCGAAGGCTCGCGTCTGTGCGGCCCTCGTTCTGGGATGGAAGCTCCCTGGTGGGTCGGGGCAGCGCACCTTGGGGTGGGGGAGACCCGCGCGGGCCGGGCTGCCCCAAACTCCAGGCCCAGCCCCGGCTGAGACCTCCAGAGCCCCTCTAGTCCAAGTTTCTCATCTTTGGGAATAAAACTGCTTTTCTGCCACCACGGGTTTGGGGGTTTGGTTGGGGTTGGTGTCCTTGAACACCGTTGGCCCAGAGGCCCAAACTGGGAACTTTTCAAGAGATTCAGCTAAAGCCCTCATGTGTAAAGGGGACTCAGGAAGTCGGTTTGGCCTCCCTGGCACCTCAGGGGACGCTCACCCGGGACACTCTCCCTACGCCAGGCCCTCCCCGGGCGTTTCCTCGTTTGTCATCGCCCCTATCTTAGGGCTGAGGGAGCCAAGATTCAAAGGGGCCTGGTGGTCACGTGCTCACGATCAAGCACACGTAAGGAAGGTAGGGTGCAGAGGGCGGAGGGAACGTACAGAACCGGCTGGCACGCTGGCAGAGCGGGACCTGAACCGGGTCAGCCTGCTTCCTTTCGCGCCTGCAGCCGGGCTCTGCTCTTTGCAGGCGAGCTGGTAAACGTTTAACAAGGGGGTGGGCGCGGGCAGCCCTGATCTGTAGCTCTTGCTGACTTTGGTGGTGTAAATGCTCCCACTGTGGCCAATTTCAAGCTACCAACAGGACGGGCCTGAGTGTAAAGCTGGGGCAAGATGTGGACAGTCAGCTTCTGGGGGCAGTGCCAGCCGGCTCCCACTCGCCCCCGGCGCTGGGACAGCTGACGAGGCCACCAGCCAGGCCTGTGCTGGCAGGTGGGGGCAGAGCACGTGGCTGGACAAAGGCAGGCTTCTGACTCTCTGAGGGGCACCTGACCTCTTGCCAGAACTTTCCCCTCTGGCTCTCTCGCCCCCCCCCCTCACCGCCCCACAGAACACTGGGCATCACAGGGGCATCTCACGGGGACCCGTGACCCTTGTTTTATGTCTGCGAGACTGCAGGGCCTGGGAGCTCTTGCCTAAAAGCAGGGCCTTCAGAGGGGGTAAGGCTCAGGGTCTAGGCTGACCCGCCCCCTCTCCTCCTCCAGCTCCTGGTGGTGCAGGTGGGCCGCCGAGCCTGGGACTCAGCATTAATGGGTGCTGGGCTGCCAGAAGGGCTTGTCTGGGTGAGACCTGGGCCCGGCAGTCAGGGGACCTGGTTCTGGGCTGCTCTGCTGCCGGTACGTGCAGCTCCAAGTCCACCAGCCCCTCAGCCTCTGCACCCGTGAGATGACACTGTAATCCTGCCCCGGGGGGGGTTGCTGTGGTCTGGTGGCCGTCCTCACAACCACAGCTGAGTGTCCTGCAAGCTGGGAGGGACCTCGATGCCCCAGGTTGCCTGTACTGGGAAGCAGCCTGACAGGATGGAGGGGACGTGGCTTTGGGATCAGACAGGCGTGGGTCTCGTCCCAGCTCTGCTGCGTCTTGGTCACAGAGCTCTGGGCGGTGCCCCGGCCTCTGGAGCCCCTAGGGTGGCTGGGAGGGCCAAAGAAGCCCTCTCAGTGGGCTCGGGAGTTCCCAGCCGGCCCCGCCCCTCGTTAGGTGCCCACTGCCAGACGTGAGGGTGCCGCCCGAGGCCGGCAGGTGGACGCAGTTCGGCAAAGCCCCTGCCTCCTTGGCAGTGAGGGCTGGACCCCTGGAGTCAGGCGAGCCCCCTGCTCGCTGTGACTTCAGTTTGCTCCCGTCTACAGTGGGGTCGCTGTGCGGTTAGAAGGCCTCACACGGAAAGCGCACGGGGCGTGCCTAGCAGGTAGAAAGTGCTCAGCGCACACTAGCACGGGGATGGTTAGTTCTGGTTTGATCTGGGCCCCCCAGATAGCAGGGCCCTCAGTTATCTGTCACCCTGAGTCTAGAGTACCTAGACGGAGTCCAGGCTGCTGCCATGAGCCCTCCGGACTGGGAGGTTTGACAGCTGGTGCAGATGTTCTGCCCTGCGGTGTCCAAGCACATACGTGCTGAGCTTTGCCCAGCGCAGGCCCAGGCTTCCTTGCTCCCGGCAGATGGAGCTCCTGCTGCACCGGGGCCGCCACGGGGCAGGCAGGGAAGTTTACCTGGGGGGCAGCCTCGGGAGGCGTCACTGGGGGCTGGGGGACGCGCGGGGGCCTCACCCAGCCAGACCAGGCGTGTGAGGTTCTCCAGGCCCTCGATCTTCTCGATGATGTTGTTGTCCAGCTGCAGCTTCCGCAGGTTCTCAAACTGCCAGAGGTTGTCGATGCGGAGGATATCTGAAACGATGTTGGACACGCTTTGGCTGGTTCTGGCCCGGGTCAGGGTTAGGATATAGTTCCAGGGTCTTGGGGGCTGGATGACTGATGCTGACCGTGGGAGAGGCCCCAGAGCCCCGCTGCCTTCCCCGGAGCGCAGGGAGCCCTGGAGGTGTGGGCCCAGCTCTGCGGAGCTCGGGGTCCCTGTTGGTGCTGCCGTCCGGGGCCACCACAGGGCCGGGTGGGCCTGCGCAGGGTGGAGGGGGGCAGGCCCTCCAGGGCGGGAACTCACAGGGCTCCCCCTCGGAACACCTGGGCTCAGGACACAGGGCACGGGCAGGGCCCCCCAGGGTGACAAATAGAACTGAGGCTGCAGGGGTGGCCAGTCAACTAGTGGAGCCGTTTGGAGGGTGCTCTGGCCACATGGACGGAAATAGTTAATGTCTGTGCCCACTGACCCTGCAATGTCTCTACCTGGAATCACACGCCGTGCCAGTGCCCGAGGATGAGGCCCCGAATGTCCACATACAGGGAGGGGATGAATCGCCCCACAGAGGCAGATCCTGACGTCACTGAAGTGCCTGACCCCACGGCCGCTGAAGACCCCCCCCCACCCCGGCCAGGCAGCCGACCCATCCCCTTACTCCTGAGCCAGGCGGAGCTTGGTCTCTGTCTCGGCTGCCAGGAGCTCTGAGTAATGCTTAGTGTGACAAGCACACACTGTGTCCACAGGCTCTAGAGGCCTGACCTTGTCCCCGGTTCTCTTAGAAACCACAGAGAGCTGTTGTTTACATGCCCCTTTTTCTATGTTTGCTTCTGTAATGATTCCCAAAACAAAGTTAGAGTATGCCCATTAAAAGAACTGAAATAATATAGAAATGAAAGGAGTAAAAAAAAAAAAAAAAAGAAAAAAGCCCTTAATAGCCACACATTCGGGGCAGCCGTTTCAACATTTATTCAGACAGGCAGGCACCCCTCCCAGCTGCCCACCACAAGCTGGGTCTCGGTGGGGGGGTGGTGGGCAGCATTTCTCTGACCCAGGGCCCAGTCCCTCCCGGTCCCCAGGGCTGCCTGGGATGGAGTTTGTTCCCCAGCTCTGTGGTCACATTTCCTGGAATGACACCAGCCCCACCTGTGCTGCTGGGGCAAGGCCCAGCCCCGCCCCCGGATCTCCTGGTCTGGATTTTCCTTCTCTGGCCCTGGCCTTAGACCGACGGCCTTGGCTGTGATTGACCGTGCAGACACCAGCCCTGGGCGGCTCCCCCACTCCTGGGCGCCCTGCCTGGCGCACCTGTGTGCTGGCTCTGCTCTAGACCTCAGCAGTTCACGTGGAAAAGCCCAAACGACACGAAAGAGCCAGATGCATCCGACAGCATGACAGGGCTGCCCAAAAAGCCCACTCAATCTTCAGCACAGACACAGGATCTGCCTCTGCTGCCACCGGCTTGGTGCAGCCTGTTGTCACGGCTCCCTGTCCCTCCTCTGCTCAGGACCTCCCTGGGCTCCTGCCTCACTCAGAGCCAGACGCCTTCTTTCGGCCCCCGAGGCTGATGCTAGCTGATCCCCGCCTGACCACACTGCATCCCACTCCCCTTCTCTCCTCTCTTGCCTCTACTTCTCTCAACAGCACATGTGTCCCCCTCCCTCGAAGGTCAGCTCCACGAGTCCCTGGTGCGCAGAGCAGCGCCCTGCACGGGACAGGCATCCGCTACGTAGTGGGGGCAGGGCAGCAGAAGGTCTGAAGACCACTCCGCCTCCCCTTTAGCCCTTTCCCGCCAAGAGCCTCAGGGCCCTCCCTGCTCTGGGCGGCCTGCGGGCTCCATGAAGCCGGGCCGGGCCTGCCGTGCACACCACATCCCAGGGCTGACTCAGTAGCCCCTCGTGGTCACTGGGTGACCCGGCAGGCCAGTGTGGAGGCCCAGGACACAGCAGGAGCGTGAATCAGCCCGGTCCCTCTGCTGTGACCGGCCTGCGCTGGACATGAGGGGTCACGGGACCCCCGCCCACCCGTCCTGCTTCCTCACCTATACCCTCCGCCTGACTCGTGGGCCTCCTTTAGTGAGCCGGGCACTGGGCCTGTGCTGTCTGGTCTCGTCTTCCCAGCCAGCGCCTGAGACACGGATTCCGGTCACCCCGGTTCACAGGTGGGGTGCTGAGGTCTTGCCTGATCCCAAGCCACATCTACCCCCAGGCTGTCCTGTGACCTGGAGGGGACCCCCCCTTCTGTTTCCAGTCCCTCCTCTGAAGCTGCTCCCCCAGCACATGGCCCTCCCCGGACCCCACACCTTCCTGGCCACGTGGACCACCCTCCTAGGTCCCCCCCACCTTTGGGGACCAGCGTGGCCTCTGGGGGTCACTTAAGACTTGGAACGGGAGGATGTTACCTTGCTTTGTTCTTACTCAGAATTGGGAGTGTTGTGGCTGTTCAAGTGCTACCCACACTCGGTATCAGGCTCTAAAACCGCCCGTGCTGGTACTGCACCTTCCGACTCAGGCAGCCCGAATGCGACCGCGGGCCACGGCCCACGCATGGAATCGGGGACCCCTGTGCCTGCCCCGCCCCACCCAGGATACGCACTCTGGAAGTCCAGCTGCAGGGACAGGACGTCCTTGAAGAGGATGCCCTCCTGCTTGGCCAGCTGCCTGGCCTCGTCTCGCGGGCCCTGCTCCCCAACGGCCAGCTTGAGCATCTCATCATCCATCACCCTGGGCTCCATGTCGTACAGCCGGTTCATCCTCCCTGGAAAACACCATGTCCCTCGCCCAGGCCGCTGCTCCTGCCTCCCTTTGAGGGCGGGGTCTGGCTGGAGTCCTTCCACAGCATCGTGGGGCAGCGTAGCGGCCACGGCACTCTGAAGGCGGCCCCCTCCCGCCCTTGGCTGCTGTACCCGGGCTGCTCCGGGGCCTCTCTGGACCCCCGCCCGCCTGGCCCCACGAGCAGGCTGTGTCACCACCCCGGCCCCGGTGTCCACACGGCTCTCTTCAGCCTGTGGAGCTCAGCTGCGCGCACAGCCATGGCCACCTCAGGCCTCTGGCTTTCTGCACCCGCCCTCGTCGGGTTTCTTGGCACCAACCACCGACCACAATCCTCGGAGGCCCCCCTTCCCTGAGAGCCTCACCCCCTTCAGGTGGCCGTGTCTATAAGCTCCCCGCTCTCAACCGCAGCTGCCCAGTGTGTGGCCACTGGTGGCCACCAACCCAAGCTGGTCATTCATGTCCCCCTCCCCCCGAGAGACGTGAGCTGCAGCCGGAGGACAAAGTGCCCATCAGAGCTGGCCAGGTGCATGGTGAGTGAGAGAGTAAGAGGGCCTGGGGCAGACGGACAGACAGAAGCAGAGATGGGAATCTGATCCAGCAATAAAGGTGAAAGGATGGACAGACTGACACAGAGGCTGCCTTCTCCTCGCTGGCTTCCTGGCCCCTCCTGTCCCGACCCCAGGCCCCGGGAGTGTCCTGACTTCGCACATCAAATCCTCTTTTCCTTAAACTAACCCCAGGAGGTGTCTGTTGCCAATGGTCCAAAGAGATTTGGCTGAGACGCTAAGGGGGGTCTGTGGGGTGGGTCAGTCATGGGCGGACCTGGGCTGCTGTTCGTGGCCGGACAGAGCCGTGGCCCTGGGCAGCCTGACCTCACTTCATCGTTGCCAGCCGTCTTAGTGAGAACACCCAGAAGGGCTGGACCCTGCAGGAGGGCGCGCGCCACCGGAAACTCCCCGATTCTGCCTCCGAACCCTCTGCAAACTCAGTTCTCCCCCTACTTTCCACCCCGTTCTCACCTCCCTGCTGGCTTCACCTTCTGCCTTGGCCCCTGCGTCCCCACAGCCAGGCCTCCCTGCCCCGCTGGTCCCTGATGCTGGGCAGCCCCGCATTCTGCCTTTCATTCCACCGAGCGCTACTGGGGACACTCCTGACATTGGGTGAACCAGGGTGGGCCTAGCCATCCTGCACCTGGTCTCCAAGACTGCCCACCTCCCCTCCCCGTGCCGTGCAGCTTATGCAAATATGCATCTCCTGTTTCTGGAGTGTCCATGACCCATGGTCCCAGGGCCTTTAACTTTCACAGGGTCTTTCCTCCTGCCCCCACCTCCGCCCCCCGGCCCCTTCTCCTCCGGTGCCTTCCTGCCTCCCAGTCTCTGCTCCATCCCCTTAGGGTGACTGACTCAACTCCCGAGGACGTTTCCAGTCCTCCAGCTCCCCGTCCTCTGAAACAATTTTTTCTGAGACTTCACATAACTTGACACCAACTTGTCTTTGGGGAAATTTTAACGCACTGCATTTAGCAGATGTTACCTGAAAGTGTTTGTGCTTTTTTTTTTTTTTTTAAAGAAAAGTGCTGTACTTTGGGAAAGGATGCTTAACTCTGATTTCAAAACTTTGGCTGACTTCTCTTCACTCCCACCCCACCAGGGTCTGGCCCCTGTGACAGGTCAGGCCTGCTTTCCATCAGGCCCAACAATCACCGAGTGATGTGGAATGGTTGTGTTTGTTACACACACAAGGGCAGGACTTGCATCCTTTGGCAACTAACTTCGCCTTCCAAGCCTTTGACCTCCCACCTGTAAAAGATGGGTAACTCTTCCCTCCTACATTTGTTTAAGATCATTCATTTAGTCCACATACGTGTAATGAGTAGTCACTACATGCTGTGAATAAAACTGATCTCCTTACCTCTGTTTCAGACCTGAATCAGACAATTATACAAATCTTTAATTACAAACCATGACAAGTTTGTAGGTGTCGGGGACTGTGACAGCATACATGCAGGGACCTGTGCTGGCCAGGGGAGACCCCGCTGAGACCTGGAGGATGAGCAGGAAAGAAGGAAAAGGGGTCTGCGTGGTGAGGGTCCTGAGGTGGGAGAGGAGGAGACAGGTTCCACTGTGGCTGAAGCGATGCAAGGCTGGAGAGGCCTGCAGGAGTGTGGCGGTTATCCTAGGATCCCCGGGAAGCTCCTGGGGCTTACTAAGGGCAGTGACGTGATCAGACCTTAATTTTAAGAAGCTCATTCTGGCTTGTAGTACCAAGAACAGCAAGAGTCGTGAGGCGAGAGGTGACGGGGGTGGAGGTAAGATGTGGATTTTAGAGACCTCTAGGAACTTAGTTTACAGGAAGGACTGATTCTTCGCAGTTTTCAGGTAAGAAAATGGAAGCAGGTTAGAAAGGTCAAGTTACATGCCCACGTGGATACATCTAGTACATGGCAGAGGCAGGAGGACAGGCCTCCAGGGCCCATTTTCTTAATCACGACTCAACTGTGCCCAGGCACACTGTGGGTCATTGTCACAGTTCACACAGTTTCTCACAGCTGTTCGGGGTCGGGGCCAAAACCCCAACACTCCTTCCCAAGGGGGTTTTATCAGTAATTCACCACCCAGCCCGGGTTGCTGTTGACTTGCCTGACAATAGTGTTGTGGTGGGCGGGGAAAGCAGCGGAGAACCTTACACCTCCTCACAGAGAAACAGATCCTGAATTGTCCTGCGAAACCTTGGGATCAACTGGACCTGGAAAATAGAGCGCCTATTGGCCGTGAATTAATAAGAGAAACCCCACCCTTTACTGAGTGCTCACTCCGAGCTAGAGCACGTTCATGATCAAATTACAGGTCAGCTCTGGGAGCCATTAGAGAAGGGAGCCCTAATGCCCTGATTTCCCAGACAGGGAAACTGAGGCCCGGGAAGGGAGCTGCTGACAAGGGACAGACATGGACCCAGGCATCCACATTCCAAGCCAAAAGCCTTCACCAAGAGGAAGTCTAGGTCTAAGGAAGAGGAACAAGTTAGCAGCACTGAGAGGTCGGACAGAGGGTCAGTAATGCCCTCCTGAAGAAGCATCTATCGCTGGGCCGGGTACCTCTCTCTGGCCCGGAGGCCGGGGGTGGGACCTCAAAGGTCTCTTGGGGGCATGCGCCCGGAGGGAAGGCTTCCTCAGCTTCTCTCCCCACAAGGCCTGAAGGCCCCGGATCGGCGTGCGGCCGGCAGGGGCTGCCAGGGGCCTGCGCGCTCTCCTCTAGGTGGGGCGGCCGGCGGACTCCTCAGGGAAAAGGTCAAGTCCTCCCGCAGCCTCTCGGCCACGGGCTCTCAGAGTCGCCGGCACTGTCCGCCGCCTGCGCCTCCTCGCTGAGCCCGGTTGCTAGGGGAACCAAGCGCCGCGCTCCTTTGCTAGGGGGAAGTCAGGGAGTAGACATCCTGGGTTAAAGTTGACGACCACGTGATCACATTTCTGGGCGGGGAAAGCCTCCCAGAACCAATTAGCCGTAGGGAAAACAAATGCTTGTCCAATCAGCACTTTCTAAGGGAGAGGAACTTACTAGCTCCGCCCTGCCCCCGCCCCCCTCTTGAGTGACTGACTCGACTCTTGTCCAATAATATTAAGGACTCCCTGGATTGACCAATACATAAATGAATCAAAATACACAGACTCGCGTTGGGAGGCGGGCCAGGGGAGGTGACGGAGATTCCTGTGACCTAGGTCACCGCCCCGCCCAATCGGACGCCGCGGGATGGGCGTGACTTCGCGGAAGGAGCTGTAGGGGCCAATCGGAAGAGGGCAGGGCAGCCATCGCCCAATAGACGCCGGAGGGGCGGGGCCAGAGGCAGGCACCGGCGTTCCCGAGGGTGGGGCCGGGGCAAGTGTCAGTCAGGCAGGGAACGCCGCTGGGGACGCGGAGACCCGGCGGCTTACGCGCGCGGGCTGCTACCGAGCCGTCCGACCAAGATGGAGTTCCTCCTGGGGAACCCGTTCAGCACGCCGGTGGGGCAGTGCCTCGGTAAGGCCCCCACGGCGGCGCCCCGAGGCCTGGGCGGTGCTCCGCGCGTCCCTGCGCTGCGGGCCCAGTCCTCCGCCCCGGCCCGGCCGCCGCTTTCCCAGCGGGCTCCCTGCCCTGGGCCCGCCCGGCGGAGCCGCCCTCGGCGGGGAGCGGGAGGCCGGGCGCGCTCCTGGGGAGGCTGTCGGGGGCGGGGGCGGCCGTGCCGGCTAACGACCGGAGCCCCGGCCGGGGAGCCTTGCCGCCGACTCTCCCCGTGACCTTGTGCGAGTCGCTGCCCTGTCGGGTCTGGAGTTCCGTCTGTCAGAGGCGGGGGTCCTGATGGCCGTGGTGCTGCTGTCTGCACGGTGACTGTCGCTCCCCTGCGCTCTTGAGTCTGCCAGCGGTGAACCCTTCGGTGGCAGATAGAGGGTTACTCGGCAGTTCTAATCCTGTGGGGGGCTCGGAAAGCCCGAGGTGCAGGTGAAGGACCACCAGAGGGCCCGCCCTATGGAATTTTCTTACAGAAAAAGCAACGTGCCTTTTCACCCAAGGTGGGCGCTCATGCCAAGTGTGATCAGTCTAGAATGTTGATTGGTTTCTTTTAAAACTGGGTTCCTCCTGGTTGGTGGAAGGACTGGTGAAATGTCTTTCGTGAGCACGGACCTTTGGAGTCCTTATGGGCTTGGCTGGATTAGGCTGTAGTGATTTATTTCCTGCTTTACTTATAAATTTCCAGCTTACTTTTCAGCCTTTAGTGGGGCCTGTGAAATTATTGAGGCCTCTCCCGTTGGCTAACTGGCATTTGGGAGCCTTTCTTTTCTCTGTGGTGTAGCGTCTCTGATAAGGGGTGATGGGCCCTGGAGAGTGTTTCCCCACCTTTCTCGAGGCTCCCACCCCCGTTCTTCTTCCTCAGCTGCTCTTTCACTGCATCCATGTTCCAGAAACTCATTTCTCAGTTGGGTATTGAATTCCAGTCAGCTATGAGAGGGAGCCAGTCAACTTGGGGAATTTTTTTCTTTTTCTTTTCTGTCTGCTTTACAGTAGGAGACTCTGTTACTACCTTTGAAATGCCAAGGTAGTTGATGAGGGGTATAAGTTAAAGGGGAATTTAAAACATACAAACGTAAGGGACGTACAGGTGTATAGCAAGGGGAAGGAGCATGATGCTTCTCTCAGGAAGACCTGAGTTGAATTTTGCTTCGCCCGATTCAACTGCGGGACCCGAGAAAATTGTGTGGCCCTTCTGAGCCTTAGTTTGCTTGGTGGGGGCCGGAGATTGATTCATCCCCACACTGGAGAGGCGGTGTGGGACAGCGGGCCCATCTGTGATCAGGCCCCGCGTCCACCGTCCCGTGGACAAAACACTTGACCATGAAGAGGATGGAGCCTCCTCATTGCCAGTTAGCCAGCAGGCCAGACCTCGGTAATTTCACAGCTCAGTTCAGATAACTGACTAGAGGCCAGAGTGAGTTTCTAATGTGTCTTCTGTGCTGTTGTGACGTGCTGTTAGTGTTCTTTTAAAAGTATGTGCTGGGGGTTGGTGGGAGGGAGGGGGTGCAGAAATAAAGCAACAGCGACAAAGCTAATGATTACGCGCAGAGGTATACCTCACGCGAAGCAGTTCCACAGCCATCACTTGCTCCTTACGGCTGCGCTGCGAAGTAAGCTCTCTTGTCCTTCCCACTTTAGAGATGAGGAAACTGAGGCTCAGCAAGGTGGAAGGATGGCTCAGCCGGTCAGACGGAGCTGGGATTTCATAGCCATCCCTGTGCTCAAGGGGTTGAGGGGGTCAGGAGAGGGAACAGAGATGCGTGGGACAATGTCGACCGACAGGAGGCCACGCAGTGCCGGTGCTCAGTTGCCTCGTGGGTACCGTGAGTGCCGTCAGGACGCCACTATGCCCAGAGGAGCTGCGGCCTGCACCTGGCGTCTTGGAGTCTGAGGGCCGTTGGTGAGGATGGGTGGGAACTGCACCGTCAGAGAAGAGGCCCCCTGTGCCTGGGGACAGGTGGAGGAGGCGGGCAGGGGGCGTGAGCACCTCAGTGGTCCCCAGTCCACGTGGAGCAGAGGTGGCTGTGGGGAACAGGGGCAAGTTGGGTTTGGGCCCAGGATGGAGCCCCGTCCTGGGTGGGTGGCATCAAAGGCCACGTTCTGTAGCTGACCACAGCTGTTAGTCTCTCTGGACCTCATTTTCCTCACTCAGCAGCCACTGCGGCTTCTGCCGAAACCATTCCCTCAGTCCATTTCAGCAGGCGTTTTGAGTGCGTATTGGGTACCAGGCCCCAGGATACAGACATTAAAAAGCTGCTCGGAGGGGCCCTTCTGTAGCGGTAACGCACCCACCAAGGTGTCCTGAGCTGCAGAGCGTCAGGCTCACCGTCCGGGGATTCGTAGAGCCGCGATTACCCCGCCTCGTGCCTGGCCTCACTCGAGCTCCCTGGCCTTGTTCGGTCAAACGCGTGGTCTGCCCGTCACAAGGCGGCGGCTAAGCTCCATCTGATGTGGTTACGTGCCTTCCCTGCATCCACGCTGCCCGTGGTCCTGGAAGGTGGCTCCCAAGCGGAGGGCACGGCTCAGAGCTAGGACGGGCCGCAGTGTGAGGGCCGAGAAGCGTGGAGGAAGGCAGAGTGCTTCCTCGTGCTGTCCGACTCTCTCCTCTGAAACGAGTTTCAAATGGTCCTGTCCTAATGGCTGTCGCATATGCGGAGTCCCCGAGCCAGGTCCATGGTGCTCTGCAGACGTGCACGGCTCTCCTTGTGTTGGCCGGAAAACGTTTTCAGATCGTCCTTTTCCAGGAGTGAAGTTTGGGTTCATTTAGATGAAAAGATTGGTGAGTAGTTCGTTAATTGCACCCAGAGTATTGGGGGCAGGCTGGTAGCAGGAGGACCAGCGCTTCTCTGCTGCAGGGCTTGTGCCGGTGGATTGGATGGTGTGGGGTCTGAACTGCCTCCTGGAGCTTCATGTATTCAGGGGCTCTGTATCGCCTCTCTTGTATACCAAGCGAAACACTTACCAGGACGTTCAGTCCAGTAAAGGAGCTAAGACAGGGACCTAAATCAGGTAAGACAGAAAGTGTTGGCCCAAGATTGGACAGATAAACAAAGTAAGGTAATGGAGGACAGAGGGGTCACCTCCAGCAGCAGTAATAACAGTTAAAGGTTTTTTGTTTTTTTAAAAAATTTAATTTTATTTATTTATTATTTTTGGCTGCGTTGGGCCTTCATTGCTGCACGTGGGCTTTCTCTAGCTGCAGCGAGCGGGGGCTACTCTTTGTTGCAGTGCGTGGGCTTCTCATTGCAGTGGCTTCTCTTGTTGCGGAGCACGGGCTCTTGGCGCATGGGCTTCACTAGTTGTTGCGCACGGGCTTCAGTAGTTGTGGCTCGCGGGCTCTAGAGCGTAGACTCAGTAGTTGTTGTGTGCGGGCTTAGTTGCTCCGCGGCATGTGGGATCTTCCTGGACCAGCGACCGAACCCGTGTCCCCTGCATTGGCAGGCAGATTCTTAACCACTGCGCCACCAGGGAAGCCCCTAGTTAAAGGTTTTGCTTTTTTAAAATTGCGTACTGTGTTACCGTGTGCCGGCGACTGCAGTAGGTGCTTTGTATATCTTGCAGTCCTTTAATTCTTAGAACAACACTGTGAGTGAGGTACTGTTATTATTTCCACTTTGTGGACAGGGACCCGGAGGCAGTGAGAGGGTCACACAGCTAGCAGCGAGGGAGCTGGAGTTGCAACCCAGCGTCCCAGCATTCTGGCTCTGGAGCTGCTGCCCTGGGGGGCAGGTGAGGAGGGGCACCTCGGGGGCAGGAGGAACCCAGCCCTCAGGGGGTGGGATTCGGCTCACGTAGGAGTGGAGAGGAGGCTCGGAGGGCGCTCTGAGCGAAGGCTGGGTGTGGAGGGGTGGTGGTAACGCCAGCCTGGGGAGCGGTGGGGGGCCAGGTGGACAGACATCAGGCCTGACTGACGAGGCTTCGAATGTAGGCCGCATGGTTTGGCCTCTTTCATTGGTGGCACTGGGGAGCCATGGGTGATTTGTAGGGAGGGGAGTGGCACAGCTGTCATTACAGAGCCGGGGACATTTCCCCTTGGCAGCCCCCAAAAGGCCATTCCTCTCTGACCATCAGAGCCCCCGTGTGTGCAGAGCAGGGGTCTGACGGGGGAATCAGCACACGCCGTGCCAGTTCCCTGAGGTCCGGGGTTGGGCCCTTCCTGGAAGCCCCCAGTAGAGATGAGGGGTGCTGAGGTGGGTGGACGGAGCACGGGAAGAAGTGTGGGGTTCTGAGAGCATCTGCCCTTAACTGACTGGATGGTTATAGAGCGCCGGCCCGCTCCCTGCCCCCCTGCTTCCCGCTCACAAGGACAGGAGCTGAGAGGATGGCTCGTAGGGCTTGGCGGGAAGGCTGCCCTGCTTAGGGGGCGCTATGGGGCTATTAACGGCCCCATAAAACTGTGCTGTTAAGAAACAGTGCAGACCCGTGTAGAAAGCTTGAAACATACACGCAAATGCAAAGGGGGAAAGTCACCATACTGTGCTTTCTTACAAACTCTTTGAGACTCTTCTCATTTCACAGAATAAGTAAAATAAGAAGAGTGCTTGTGTATTTGACCCTCTGTTTTCTCAAGCCTTGGAGATGCAGTGTTGTGTAAGTGCTCTTAGCATATTTCTGGGTGGTACTCCTGCTTTTTTGGGGGGTGGATGTCAGCTGATGAAGGGGGTATAAACACAGTGCCCAGAGGGGCATCGGTTAAGCACTGTTGCTCTTGACCTAGCAGATAAGTCACTCAGAATTTTTAGGCTAACCTACTAGTCTGAAAAGAAAGAAAGAACGTTCAGACTTTTTTTGGTGACTCAGCTTGTTATGGCCAGGAGAAGGGCCTGATAAAAACCAGCCTCAGCCTTGGTGCGTATTTCAGTGCTCCCTCCAACCCTCCTGACCTACAAGAATTTCCGATCTTCTCCATCCAGTCCTGAAGCCTGCTGGCCGTCAGCACTTGCCTCCTTCTCCAGGCAGCCTTCCTAGAC